GACTGTCCGCAAGAAGAAGTGGTCTGTACCTGAACTGCGGATGTTTCCTCGATTCGTGGTTCTTTCAGCAAATCGCGAAAGACGTGAAATATGTATTTTTTATACTTATTTTGGTCTATTCCATCAGTTTTCTATGAGATCGCCCTTTAAGCATGTCTGTATAACAAGTTAGATGAGATATGGGTTCGGTCATGTGTTCAAACAATATTTTCCATTGTACTACAACATTAATCTGTAAATAGAAGGATGTACTATCATCCAACCTGAGGGTGCATACACAAACGAAGTCGTATTGTCTTTTATGATTACTGAAGTAAAAATACATTTAATATTCGGAGGTTTATGGACTACACATTCAACCGGATATACAGTGCTGCCACCCAGAGGAAACACTTGATAGATGCCAGTCTCTTTTGGGGTGTTCTCCACTTTGAAGAGAGCTTAAAAATCAACAGTTTCACTCTTCTCTTGCAGCTGGCTAAGGATTGTCCGTTGTTTTTACCGTACTTTCAGTATTGGTGTTGTGACTTGCTGGACGGTAGTGCAACTCTGTGTCGGTCCCTTGGCTTCCTGCTCCGCCCACTATGGTACATCAAAAGGCACGGCAGCTCTACACAGCCGTTTATGGAGACAAAGGAAAATTACTACAACTGTAATTATAAGGTAGTCACAGTGTTCCACAAGGTCGTGCCGGCATCTCCGTGAGGGGGCGAGAAGCGTCGAGTCAAACGTACTTGACTCGGATTGGCTGGCATTCTGACCAATCAGGGCATGCCTTCATTTGGCCCGTGTCCTGCACGTGACACGTCTGCCCAAATGATGTGATGTTCGGTTATTAGGGACGGCTGGCCTCCGTACAATTGATCTTATATTTTTTCTGAGAAAACGACTGAAGTGTATTTCGTTTGATATTCCGTTAGAATCCGAGCCCTTTTGGCACTCATTGCCGATTGTTTGCTTATCCCGCACCATTCGTCACAGCTGATCTTAGGCGAAACTGGCCAAATGGGAAATAGTATGGCTTCACTTGGTTAGACTACCTTTAATTTGTCACTCGACGACGGAGATATCTTCATCAAAACCGTATTTTCCACTGACACTGTCTGACAGTTATACAGCACTGGTGTAAATCTGCCTGTTTGACTGTTACTGTCAACTCATTTTTGAGCTTATACCAATCGGCGATCACCTGATTGCCAAGCTCAAGTAAAGTTCCCCAGGCTGCGTAAGCCGAACAGTCGGTGAAATAGGCTCCAAGTAGTCACGGATATCTTTGGATACGGCCATTTTTAACACCAAATGGGATGCAGACAGACTAACCAATCGGATTTGCAATATTTTCGATTGGATAGCTGAAGCTCAACTGTTGACGATATATCAGCGATTGATACCAGAATAGGCCGGTTCCAATAATCAGCCCAGTGAGTTATAAAAATCTCTGTCAGGCCAAAACCACTGTCACAATCGCATTGCATCATGGTCTATGATTTGTGAGTATATTTCCGATTCCATCAAATAACCATGACAGAATTCAATTGTGAGCATAACTAACCATGTTCCAGGAAGTGTAATAAAAAAAATTCATCTATTCAGTTGATCGGCGGGCAAAAGCCGGCGCACCTGTATCACAAAGGAGACCAGCAAAGTATACCGTTAGCTAGATGGAGCTCAAGGCACGTGTGCTGATGGGTATGGCCCAGTGGTTTTATCCTAAGTTCAGTCAACTGTACAATATCAGTCAACGACAAATACCTTGTCATCGTTGTATACTCCTCTGATAAGCAGGTATGTCAATCCTTTTGCGAGCTAGGAGGTCGCCATCGTGTATGGGAGGATGCAGTAGAGAAAGTTCCATGCTCCGGAAATTGGCCCCTGGAGGAAAATATTTCCCTTTACGGGGTTTCCTGGAGGTGGTGATAGCTTTGGTAGAAAAACTGCGGAGAAATCTAGTGACTTTAAACGTTCAAAGCAACAGCGTTAGAGAACTTACGCAGGAAAGCCTGGGTTTCATCATTTCACAGAACAATTAGTTCTAGGCTTCCACAGAAGCCGATGTTTTCTCACAGCAGACTTGAGGAGTGAAATCCTTGACAAAACGTATTAGAGAATCACAGTTGACGTCCGCAGACTACATAGGTAGCGGAGCATCACAAAGGTGGCACCTACATCATAGCACAACTATATAAATTACGGTAACATCGTTGCTTCTTGTGAATCCTTTGTGAAATTACGGTATCGTCCAACGGAAGCCTATGAAATATGTTTATTGTCCGTACAAAACAAACAGGGAAGTGCTGCAGTCTGTAACAGAAGGCTTATGTAGACGTAGCTACGTTTTCGAGAATATTCTCAGCTAGCTTCAGGATTATCACACAGAACAAAACCTGTTGGTCTCCGTCCGACTGCTCAACTGGTTTCTCCCGTCTCTTGGATGATCTCAGTGAGATTTACAAATCATCAAACTACTTGTGCATAATCAGTAGCCACTAAATATATTCGACTGTGAAAATGGCGAACAACCAGTTGACTGATTTTTGCAGGAATTACAAAGTTAAAAGTGCATAGCAGTGAATCGCGCCAATCTGACGCATTTCACACCTGTTTGCTGTCATCGTAAGCACTTTCGAGTATACTTGTTTGGAGATGTGGGTGGGTGGTACCGATCGGCAGTGTGTATCCAGGTTGGGAAGAGCGCCCGTGGTGAGCCTATGAAAGCGGTTGGAAGATTTGTGGTGTCTACATTAGGCAATGCTGTCTATTTATCTGGTGAATTCCGAGATGGTGGACCTGTATACAGTGTCGCTGACGCTGAAGAGCTATGATCGTAGACTTCTTTCGTGTTCGAAATGGGCATAAAATTCATTGGTGTGACCTATACCTCCTAACTATTGACTGAAGGGGGTATCAGTTTGTGACGTCCTTCAATGGCCTAAACACACCAACGGATACTTTAACTAGCCCACAGTGTCACATCACATATGTCCACTTGGTGAAGCAAAAATCCATTAACAAAGTCATTTCACCTGCAACGGTTTTCAATTTCTACATTGATTGTGAATACCGACCAGGTGGTTTGCTTTCCCTCAAAATTTCACTTCAACGTTTTGTACACTGATACACAAAGAGGACGTTCCGAAAACCAGCACGTTTGAGAAAAGATAATGAAACTCTTAGGTGCAATTAAATTTGGGACCGTGCAGGATGGATTTTCCAACATTTTTAGGAGTTGATTATCTAGTTACTTCTTTTTGCGAAAAGATTTCGGAATTGATTCGCATTGCATTATATCCTACTGACGTTTTGTTGGTTCGGTACCTAGACCCACGCTTGCTGCACACATTGAATGGCACATATTCGGATCGGTATCAATCCGAGATGGGAACCAATAAGCCAACAGAATGCTATCCCCGGGGCCCAGAAAATTCAACTAGAAAAACCGATGATTCAAGTGGCATGAGTACAGGCAACTGGTCTGTTGTACCACCTGTTTTTCAAGATCTTCTAAGGAGTCTCGAATGATAGACCAGCTGTGGAAGCGAAGTACAGTCAACATAGGCCTTGAAATGTTTTAAAACGCATCACCTCTGCCTGCCTGACGTAACAAGGCATTTTGTTACTCTTGAAGGTTGCTCACTGTGAGTCGTAGAGACTATCCACGGAAATCATGAACCAAACACTTGCTTTGCTCGCATAAACGGGTTAACGATTTTGAGATGAACATATCTGCAGGTGTAACGGAAATACTGGTTATTTTTTCTTTCGGTCATAGCTAGAACTACTGCACTTCTTATACACGTTATACTGAGCGGATTAAGAGCTGTTTAGATTTCTTCGTTAGACCATTTGCCATTTGGCATGAATGAAACGGCAGTGATTGCTCATAAGGTAGTTGGTTAGACAATAGAAAGAGATTTGTGTATCAGGACAGCCGCCTTTTCCTTACATTCGTACCTAATTTCGGCACTGCACCAACTTTATGACGTAAGTTTTATTAGTATGAACCCATACAGCTTATTAAATATGGTGTTTTTAAAATACAAGAGGCAGTATAACATGGGCAGCCTGGTCTTGTTCTACTATGTGTACATTTCCAAACCAAACCAGGCCAAGGGACAATACTGGAAACTTTGGTAAAAGCTAAGTTCTGTTTTAATCCATTGTTGTTGCCTGAGTCAGAGTCAACCTGATCACTGATTAAAAGCCAGATTTTTCATCTTAATCACAGGCCCATATCAAGAATCACCAAATGATAGACCATTAGCATTCAATTGATGGATGGACGGTCAGGTGTTGGGACCACTGGAATGACGCACTCCAAAATGAGATGAAAAGTAATCGCTTGAATGGATGTACGATTGAAGACTTTACTTCCTTGTAGTTTGAGCTCAAATTAAGTTTCAATCCGTTGAAAGAGAATGGTGCATTAGCCGTAGACTCAACAGAAGGTCACATCAGAAGGTGCGTTCACCAACCGTTCAGGACCACTGATACACACACGATCATCTCCACTGATACTACTCGTGTGAGTTGCACTGCTGCAAGGGAAGCAGGCTATACTTATGAACAGAAATTCAAAATGTTACCACTACAAATTTAAATGGCACATTAGAAATCAAGTGGCGTTATATTTACTTTCTCTTTCCTTTCTCTTACCAGGACTTTACAGAGACATACAGGCAAAATGAATTAGCTCAAATGTTTCCTCCGGTCTTTACGCATACAGGGCACAAAACCATCCGTTTATTCCACAAGTTGACCGCGCAATTGTAAGGCGAGTGGCCGTACAATTAATTCACACGTACGCTTGGGCTATGTGGGTTGCGACTTGAGATGGGAACACGAATAAAGTAGTCAGCATAGAGAAAACATTCAGCTGTATGATTTGACAGCTCGCGATCTTGCTTTCCCCTGACCACCCGAGGAAGATTGTTCAAAGACAGTGAAACAGAACGGACGCGAACTTTTTCAAACAGTTTCGGTACCACGTTAAGCAGTGTGTACAAAATTAACATGGGCTTACAGGAGGCTTGATAAATCAATGTCTTTTGCGCACTTTAAGGTTACCTACAGTCGAGGTCCACTGAGTGAGATGCTAGAGCCTTCTCAAAATGGAAATCAGTTTGCGGAGAAAGATATTTTGAAAATAAAAGTCCAACGCAGAGTTCATCCAAGTAACCGTAACCATAACTGCCCGTGGAAAAGATACAAGCGGACGGAATGAACCTCAGATAACATTCGAGGAAGCAATCCTACGGTGATCTTACAACGTTGGCGCAAACAAAAACTACTGAGCATTTCCCAAATGTTGTGATTGATAATCAATCGAATAGAGTTGTATACTGACTGGTGGGGGCATCACAGTTAAGATTTGTGCTCCAACAGGCATTACAGAACACAGGACATAAACATGACTAATTTCTTGGAAGTGTGTGGAGCGAGTGTGTTGAGCGAGTTCGAATGACCTTTGGACTCATAAAGCTTGAGATAAATGCAATACGGCATGGCGTGCATGAACAGAATTGACAATGTTCCCAGCGGCGTAAACATAAGTAGCCGGTTCAAAACACAATAGGAACGTTGACCGAAATTCATAGATCAGTGGCTGGACGGCCGGTCCAGACAACTGATGGAGCGACAGCAAGACGCAGCTCACTGACTCGACTGCCTAGGAGAAATTGCGGTTGCTCATTGAAGAGAAGCGCATTGTTCGCACTCTGACCATACAGGTTTAAAATGAAAGTTACGCTGGGGAGGCACTGAACGATCCATCGAATGCGTAGACCAGTTTCTACCTCCTGACCTAGGTCAAGCTGGGGGGTCGGGTACTCGGTAAGATAATAAAGATGAGCCATGTTGTTGTTGCTGCTGTGAGGTAGTGTGTATCGGACTGGAGAGGACAGGCTCATTGGTTCCGTACATATGATAACAGTGATGATACGGTTGTGACTGCTGGAGGGAGACGGCAGGTGCTGATCGGTTGGTTTCGTCTCCTGCAAACTCCGTAGTCAATGTGTTCAAAGATCGCAGGGTATCTGGATATTCCGTAGTATCCCCGCTTGGCGCAGATGATAATACATTACGCGGTAGTCCTGGTCCAACTGTCGAATTAGATAGTGGATGAGACCTATGTTTTGAAAGTTCATTTGTGTACGTTGGATCCGGCGACGAAGCTTCAGCATGATGAAAAGAGGGTGCAAGAAAATCATTGGAAGTTGTCATGGATTCACGAACGAGCAGTGTGCTTGCTTGCGCATCATTCATGCAACGCTCAACTTCTGTAAGCATTTGTATCAGTTGTATTGGATTGTACTCTGAGAAATCAAAGTCATCCACAGGCGAAATTTCCTCATTAAGGGATGCAGGTTTCGCGTCGTACACCATTTGAGATTTGTACGGAAAATGGGTTTTGAGTGCTTCTTGTTGTAGTTGATTAACAATCTGAAAGTAACAGAGCAAAGTGAAATAAGAGTGAAACAGTAGGTGGGGATAAACCGTGATTTGGTGACATGGATAATCCAATGAGTTTTGCAGCTAGGATTAAAAAGACGCCGCCGGATGCGGAAACTCCCAAGTGAACACAAACGCACTCAGACTTGGAGTCATTAGAGTTGCAGTTCTGCGTACAGATCGATCACCAAGGTGACCGGTTGTGCGTTCTGCCTGCTGTACTGTAGTACTCCAATCAAGAGAAAATCTTCCAAACAGCGGTAGTCTTTCCTGAGGGATTCCCGCATTTCTTCTGATGCCATTATGTCCGGATACGCTACAAGACTGTTGAACCTACCGCTCAGACATGCTAAATTTAAGTGGAGATAATTAGACAATTATCGAAGCATTCCGACACTTTAGTTTCCATTCGGAATGTATTGCGAAAGACTTACCGAAGCTTGACAAGGTTTCACATATTTCATATATAGTTCATAGATGGCCCACGACACATTGAATTCGTTCGAATGGTTCACAGAGTGTTGGCGCAAGATATCCTGCATATCTTCGCGTTTGATTGCAGGCATGGCTTTGATCTCACGATAGTAGTTATTGACTCGAGTCCATTGTTGCTGCAGGAGGCAATCAATACATGAGAAGGATGCTAGTGAAATAAAACAACCAATAACGAGACCCTTCAAATCCACCAGCACTTATTGAAGAAAAATGGTTTGTGAGCGCGAAGTGCCACGAGAATAGTAATGGTGAGGAAAATGTACCGTTCATCAACCTGCTGAGTAGTGAAATACTATCGAATGAAAGGTTTTGCACGAGTTACAAAAACAAATTGACCAGACCACCAGTAGAGTCTTGTTCAGACTGTCTGCAAAACAAGATTTGAAAACGTCTAATTTTATGCAAGGGTCAAACAAGCTGGCCTGCTACATTCAGGTACGTTGAATTTGGCAGTAAAGTAAACTGCTATCTATGATGAGCAGACTGTTTGGTGGTACACCCCTCTTCAAGTATTAAAAAAAGGCTTCTACTTGGTGCAAATGTTTATCGACCCTTGGAGAGGAACCCGGATACTAAATAAGGCCATGTCCACAGCACTCACCAGTCAGTTTATGGGGGTGACACACGGGCCATACATTTGAGCCTATAGTCAAGCATATTAATACCACGCCTGTTGTTGGATGACCAGATTTCGCAGCTAAGATGAACCGCTAGGAGAACAAACATCAGTTTATGTTTTTCTACTTGGTGGTTTATCGACCCTTGGAGAGGAACCCGGATACTAAATAAGGCCATGTCCACAGCACTCACCAGTCAGTTTATGGGGGTGACACACGGGCCATACATTTGAGCCTATAGTCAAGCATATTAATACCACGCCTGTTGTTGGATGACCAGATTTCGCAGCTAAGATGAACCGCTAGGAGAACAAACATCAGTTTATGTTTTTTGTGCTGATGTTTGAATATTAGCTACTCGGTCAACAGGCTCTGAAAAAGACACTTTCCGGCACGCATAGCGCCTCTAATGTAATCCTGCAATAGAGCAGTGAGCTAAGGGAGGCCAACACCGGCCATATTTGTTTCCCATACATATAGTAAACAGCATGACATGGAGGAAACTACTCACAAGGTTGCCGAAAACTCTTGCACAGCCCACGACTGGTTTCGCCCTTCTTGGGGATCATCAGGTAGGCGCAGTCCCCGAGTTTCCATCAACCTTATGATCTACTTGAACCCAAATTGCACTGTTTTCGAGAAATACACTCATTTGCAAATCAATTTGGTTTTCACGGGAGACTCCCTTTTGCTCTTTTACCCGCCACTCGTATTGCCGCAAAGGCCATCCTGTCCGACAGTTGTGTATTAGCATGTCTGTGCGTGAACGTGCGCTTACCCATGCGTGATCGTGTCCCGTTTGCTTAGCCTGTCTTGGCTTGTTTTCTCATGAGTTTCGTGTAATCACACCGCCAGTGGGAATCACGAGACTGTGGACGACCACAACCCACAGTACAAACATCATTCAGCTCGCCGAGTTGATGCGCGGATGCTGGCACTGCACTGTGCCGGTGAGTGACAGACCTATGCACTTGTCGACGCTAAGAACGTGAACAATTGAGGTTTGTTTAAATCTGCTTACCCTTTTGTAAATAGTACCGTAGACTTTAGAGACCGAATCTTCCTTCTGATATCCGAGGTTGTCAAACCCACGCGGCACCAAAGTTCCGTATCGGGAACCTCAACACCCCATCAAAATCAATTGGTAAAATGTGACTTAATCCCACAAACAATGGGAGATGTCGCTTGATGGGGTTCGCGACAGACACGAACGGTCTTGTTCTGAGATGGGGGCCATGGGGCTTGACACCAGCGCCGACACGCCAGTACTGCAAGTCGACTTAGACCCAACACGAATATCGTATAAGTCATCTCCGTTTTTTCAAAGCGTATGCAGCCTAAGGTCGCCAGCCCCTGCGCATAGTTGAACGGAACCTTTTGCCGTCAAAAGTGACAACAGGGTCATCAATTCACTCTAAAAAGTCGAAATACTACCCCGTCCAAACACTTGAGTTGGCTTGCTTCATTTCTGTCATACGGTTGGGAACAATCTGGTTACAAAACGGAAGAAAAGTAGCTATGCAATCAAACGTGCTTGAGGTCATTGAAAATCGCACAATTGTTTTGTTGTTAAAATGACTCATTCAGCTATAGTGGCCTTCCAAAGCAGAGTTGTAATATATCCTCAAGATGCACGAAGGCTGAAATAGCCAAGCCCAGCCAGCGGTAATGAAGATATGAAGGTGTTAAGGAACCAGGGACTCATGAATCCAAATACAGATTCGAACCCGCAACCGTCTCAGTAGAAGTTTGTTGGGAGCAAGATTCTCATGACGAATAAACCGCCAGGCACCCATCAACAGCACAAATTCATTCATATCACCAAACTCGATATCGACTAGCCATGAGGAAAAACTACTATTCAAAGCTGAGGAGACGTAGACAGATTCACATTATACATTCCCGGAAAATGTTACCGACCATATTGTCTCTCTGACAAAGTAACTGGTTGCTCAGTGAATACTTGATGTCAGCTGGTACAGAGGATGCATGGAAGTTAGTTTATAGTAGATTCAGGGAACGTCACCTTGTTAATCGGTGTCCTTCAGCGACTACCTTCCAAGTAATCCAGGCGAAGCAAGATGAGTAAAACACCCGTAAGCTGCTTAGGTCTATTACCAAACGTCCAACCACACCATCTAAATAAGAGCCAGGATTAACCTTTGAGCTACCGCAATGTCCAAGGAAAACTGACCACCGTAGTTACAGGCGAGGATGGATTTATTGGCAGAAAGACTGGAGACCCCTTCGACAAAATAATCTCCACCGTGCCCTTGGGGGTGGTTCAGTGAATGGAGATTAGGGGGTATTATGGATTTTTACTCAATACATGCGGATAAAAATCCGAGTACATTGCAAACCTGAAGCAAGAGAGGAAATCGAGCCTCAACACGACAGCTTTATTTAGTTAGGACGCGCATATCGTGATGGCTGAGGTAGTTTCATTCAGGTGGTGTAACACACTTCTCTTCACTATTTATACAACCTCAGTGGGACTTATGGTGCTGTGGAAAGAGCACTTTACTGGGAAATTTATAGAGCCGGTTATTGAGGATCCACAAAGAAGGCGTGTGAATTTGAAAGTAGATAGTTCACCTAACGGAACCATCAGTATGCCAAGAGAATGAGCAGAAATAAACTTCAAGTAATTTGGTGTTCAAGTAGGGGATCGGGTAGATGGAGATACGGAAACTGTGCCTACTCAGCCGCCGGTAGTAAACTGTCCATAGTCTTCATCGACCTTATGAATATTACTGAAGTCTTCACACTTATTGCGACCGACAAACTTGAAACCATGGCACCACGACAGAAAAGAGTAAAAGATAGCCTCTAACTTAATGCATGATATACCACCGGGCGATACGCAAATGTGTCAAGCTTACTGATATATCCCGAGCAAACAGCAACTTCACAGAAGAGGAGTCTGGAGTTAGTTTCTCTTTGGTAGGTGCGCAAGCGTAAGTCATGGCTTGACTAAGCGCGTGAAATGATCGCTCAAAAGCTGTCCGCCGGAGTAACGGGATATCGAATATATAATCCAAATTGGTGATAATTTGGTTCCAGAATCGCATCTGCAAACTGGATCGGAGAAACAAGGGACAAAGAAGAGATTCAAGATGAGGGGAAACGAAACAATGAATCCGGACTGCATCAAAACTGACAATATTCTCGGTCTTCGTGTTTTGTCACTCACCTGTATAAAGCGAACTACCCGGTGCACATTAAGCTGACAAAGCTTCTGGTCGTATTAAGTTCCACATAGGCTGCCGCTACCAGGGTGGAGTTCTTAACTTTAGCCATTTTCTGATTTTCCTCTAAATCAGTGGATCCGGGAAAGTGAACAGACCTTTCGACAAGCCGTAGTCAAAGGAAACTAGAAGAGCAATGTCTCAGCGCTGATCACGTCAGCTATGATATGTTATGCAAGTATAATGGGGATTGAAACACTCCTCTACAGCTCAATTTTTCAGGAAGTAGGCAGCTATTGACACTGAGAGAAAGTCATCTGCACCGTGCAACCAAAGCATCAGTAAGTTTCGACGAACCGGTGAATTCAGTTATACAAGGAGTACATAACGAGAGGATTCGCATCAAATTAACCTACGATAGATTGCGAGTCTCTTAGAAAATTCACCATTGGAGTCACTTAGTTTGAGTCTTTATAATGTAGTGATCTTCCAACCAAGGGAACACCGACGACATTACGTGAAGTTTCATGTTTCCGGTCGTGAAGCTGTGACGTCATCGAACACCTGTGGTCGCAACAGCAACTCGGTTTGAAGGTCGCTTTGTTCACAAAGTCATATGAAAGCCCAGCCTCTGAGGAACGCCGAGTTTCCCATGAAAACGGTAGAGGATGACAATGTGAGCAAGCGGGAAACTGGTGTCGGAACGAAAATAAATCAACCGACCCAACTTGACCTATCCACCATCACGACGTCTAGCTCATTTATAGAACCACGCAAGGCGCTAATGGATATCCACCGTTTGAGTTGCGAACACCGATCCGCTTATGCATAAAAAGCTCAATTTCACTCTGTTGCTGGCAGCGGTGAGCAGCCAAGAGTACCTTCGTTAGGTGGCGTTCTTCCAACCGAGAGGTGCATGGTTCGAGGCCACCTCTGACGATCCGACTGCCCCTGTCTAGCTTCTGAATGCCAGCGTGTGCAATCTGCACAGCGAGAAATTGAAGAGGCAGGAAGAACTGGCACGCCCCCTGCACAAACTTTTAGTCGTATACGGATGCATGATGAAATGAAGCACACAAGTTAACAACCTATCATCATTTATTATTCTCATGTGAATGGAGCTCGATGAGGACCCAGTAATCCCTCCCAGCTCGAAAATGAAATTTTGGAATCCTACCACGGTGGCGCACAAGTATCTAGTTTTGTTGGAGAAAATCGCGACTTTCTGGGTTATCTGATGGGGTGATTTAAACGATAATTAATAACATAGAACGCTGTAACTTTGACATATCTAACAAGACGACGAGCTTACCAATTTGACTTCCAAGCATGCACTATCTTAGGGTCCTGGACACCCAGATTAACAGCTTGAGAGTCCAAAAAATCGAACAGGTATTTGATTGGCGACGGAAGACTGTGTGATTGCAGGACGCTGCTGAATATGACTTCAAACAATTTGTCCATGAAAGTGGTTACCGACAGCTGGGTGGAAAAGAAAACAAAGGACAGAAAGGAAATCGTTTAAGTCGGATATTTTTGGTATGAAGTAGTAAATTCTGATGAATATAACCCCAGAAGTGGAAAACAGATATCTGGGCCATTGTTCCAGTGTCAACCTGGGTAGCTGAGCTTGAAGTGTAAAAAACAGGTCATTAGACGACTGACAGAATGGTGAGCTTATGTGATGTCTGTGATTAAGATCAGCAAGCTCATCCGCGTTAGTGAATACCGTTTATCTGGATGAAGGCTCCGGGATGGGAAACAACAACGGTTGGTTAATATTACCTAAACGCCGAATCACTCAATGAAAACATTTTGTAACCTGCGCTGTCCTGCCAATTTTGGTTCTTCTGAACGTCGTTTTACCACACTTCTCAAATCACTTCACCGAAAAAACGAAATGTGTATTCCAGGGCACACCTGTACAGAGTGAGAAGTTAGGTGCTACATTTGTCGCCTTTTTAAACTTGTGGATGCTGCCCATCGAGCGATCTAGTGGTTTTCCTCAAGAAAGCTACAGATGCCCCCTATGACAGTATATCCCTCGCAAAAATTCACCGAAGAGTTTAACCAAACATGTTTCTGTGCGGGTACAAGCAATGATGATCGCGAACATTGCACCTCGAAGCACAATGTGAAAGACTAATATTTAGTGCGCATTCCTTAGGATATGACATACAAGTCTCCAGGCCGAACCTCCTATGCCTAGTCTATCAGCCAACGTGACCAAATGAGTTGGAAGTTTGCTGAGCGATCACTTCATTCGAATACAACTTGAAGCCAAACAATAGGCACCAGAATTACCCAGGAGTCAGCCCCCTCAAGTATGCTTTTCCTCCACCACATCAACAGACTGCCGTTGGTCTTTTCTTGTCACATTCACACTTCTGCAGGAGACGCCGAAATCCAATCACGCGACAACCGTCGCAAACCACCATATCAATGAATAACTTGACTCTCGAATGAGTAATGTTGTCTGGAATAATATGAAAACGGACCAGTCCCTTTGATGCATCCCTGTCTCTGAGAAGTTCCCCAACTGACCTATAGAACATGCAGTGAGGTCATGTGTGCACCAACCAATTTGTGAGGTTCAAAAGGAAGTCTCAGTAGCATGGCACATTCGACACTGTCTAACCTACCTTTAATCGTCTAGCTTGGTTGATTCAGTTGGTTGGCCATACCCACATCACTATTTAAACGATGGCCTGTGTGTAGCATACCCGACAAACTTCGGCAAACTGTCACGTGTGCGTGTACCCCAAACGCGCGCGCGAGTCCGAAAGAAGTAGCGAACTGCGTCATTCTTGTCAAAAAGTAAACCTTACCTCATTAGAAAAATGAGGGGCTAAACTGAATCCCTTGTTCAGGATATTCTGCATCAGAACGAGTCGCACAAAGACGGATGCATGTTTCAGTTGGTATGATGTCTAAGATATCACAGCATATTTTGAAAGAAACTACTCATATGTTTTCTGAAAGCTCTTCGAAGAGTTTTCAACAAACTTAAGAGTATTTTCATTCATGAATGCAGTTTTCGTGCTCCGATAAAATCTTGCCCTAGACCCAGACTGTTTGTTTCTTGCTACGATATGTCTACAAATGAAAAACTGCGTATGTGGGAAACGTTTTTTACCTTTTCAGTGGCCTGGACCACGAGGGCTTTCAGTAAAATTAATCAACCGGAGAGCGAAAGCTAATTTTATGTAAATAATGACAGTGAACAACTTATGACCATTTTTCCAGCAAACAGTGTAGATAATAGTCTGAATCAAGCAATGGCGATGTGATCCAGTGAATGACAAGCTTGAACATAAGCTTGTCTGGCCTGCAATCTGAAGTCTTGGACAGGTCACACATCTTACCAACATGCATATTCGATGCTCTTGCTGAGAACTTTCACAACATAGGACATACTGGTGCCTACTACTACTCGAAAGACGCTCACGGTGAGCAGCCTCTGTATAGTGTAACTCCTTGAATAAAAGAATGAGAAGTGCACTGCAACTTTCCTGAGGGGAGTGACGGAATCAACAAGCTTGTTCTTGAACTATGGAATACATGGATTGAGTAAACGGCGGGTAATTGGTGAAAACGGAGAAAATAAAAGTACATAAAATGACTTACGCGAGTGACTACAAGGCGATTGAAAAATACTTCCTTGGGTAGACTTTCCATCGGACGATCTAAAGCGCCAGGAACTTGGCGTGACTTCAAAGGATCTTTAGAATGCTGTTGTTTCCGTCGACCGCGCCGCTTATGATGACTCCCGGGAGATAGGCTTCGCGAGTCCGTGACCGTAAGCGTCTCGTACTTGACGCTCTCAATCAAATCGTCACGAGTGAACCCATCACTCTGATGAAGCAGGGGATAGTCTGCCGTATTTTCACTGGTTTCATGCATAACCATTCGTCGGGAATGAGCTAAGGAGTCTTTGTGAAGGAACTGCAATGCAGTTGACCAACTCAGCTTTGTCGGACGCCCGAAATGTGACGGAGTTGCCTCTGGCTCTTCAGCTTTTTTGGCACAACGACACCGGAGGCGCTTTGCACAACGCGTGGTTCTATCCTCCGGACAACTAGTGGTAAGCAGGGGATGTACGGTGGTGGAACTGCTGTAGGGATACCTCTGTCCAGAGCCGATCGTACCATTGTTAACACCAGTTTCCAAAGTGTGACTGATTCCGGTAAACTCCAAGTGGTACCAGAGTGCAGAATCCGGATGACCTGTAGGACGTAAACAATGGTTCGGCTGAGGCGGTACAGTGGATGAGGACTTCGGGTAGTGTGAAGATCCATGACCAGGTGCAGAAAAGCAAGAAAGCGATCTTGAATACTCCCCACATGTGCCAGTCGGCTGTTCAAGTGGTGCACAAGCTGCCTCAGGTCGAGTGTCGACAAGGGTTGGGTCACTTAGCAAAGTTTGCTCTGGTGAACAGGTAGTGCTCACCAAATTATGAGGAACCGGAGGATTGCTGGACTGAAGGGACTTCTTCCCCCGGAACGTCTGCAGACTTGGAGATCGAAGGGATACTGTATATACGGGAAAGAAAATACGTACGGTATAAGAGACTTCAGCGAAATGTTGGGAGAGGTTTTCTATCAACTACAGTGAAAGAGACGTACCCATCGATGTAACGAGTGATTTGGCACGATGATAGGGACTGAGGATGAGGGCGACGCGAGCATTGTCTGGTAACTATGATAGAAAGGAAGACAACAGGAAAAAGTCGAGTGATGCCAAAAAGAGACATATAGAGAACGAAAGTGTACAGAAGATTTCTTGAAGACAAAACGCAAGGAGTCTTGTCGTTACACTTTTCGAGAGAATCCAACAAAGTTGAATCTGCCTATGACAACTTACTTCTGGTTTACTACCGAGTTTGTTACTCAGGTTCCTGGGATGCCAATCACAACATTGCAGATGCGGTGAACATCAGACGTTTCATCTTAACTAAGAGTTAGTACCTGAGATGTTGATTCCAGTCAGTCATATCAATCAATCTCAGAATATTCCCAATACCCTCTATTCACGCAGCTCCTACTGAAGGAGTCCAAATCAAGGTTTTCTTGAGGCTAATGTACTTTAACTACAGCGAACGGCAAAGCCATGCTCTGTGCTAGGACCGGCTGTACAGACTACTGTAACCTATCTAAACAAGTTGCATAGTACTAAAACGGAGGGGCGTACATTCCACTGAAAGAAAATAGAACCGAACGCGATTAGGAGTTCCTCCTTGTCTTTTAGCTCCTGGGAATCCACCAAGTTTGGCGTAGTTGGGCACTGTGGTCCCACAGTTCTCATTAGACACAAGGATTTGTTAACTACTGATTTGATGTACACACCATCCCAGGAGTTTTAATATCCAATTGGGATGCAAGCCCGTGGTATAAACAGAGTACGGTGATCCGCACAGGATCCCCATAATTCGCTTCTATTGGATCAGTTGAAGCCTGTCTTCTTAGAATGCGTTTGTGTCATACTGCCTCAAATTTTCTGGACATGCAAAAGGTAGATTTCTCCTACTTATCTGCAAATATTTCTCTATGCGCTAGAATCTTGTCATAATAACCCACCAAATACGGTAAACTCACACCGTGGCATCCTTGCTGGCCTCAGGACATCTCGCCGCCGAGGGTATGAACACCGAGTAACGGGACTAGGTGTGTGATTTGTGACAATGTTTTCACCAGCGATTCCTGTTCGCTGCACAGTCACTCTTGGGGATAAGTTTACATAGTGAGATAAAGTGGCTTGCCAGGGACACAATGAATCTACTGGTTCTACCATGACTTCTTGATGGTACATCCGTTTAGCCGGTAAATACGCCATTTCATGGCTGCTCTGGGTGCTTTGTCGTTTCCTGTAGATAATGCGAAAACGTTCTCTTGGGATAACACATCAATCCATTTGCGTGAATTTTGCAAATGTATATCGCTATTTATTGTCATTAGAGTGCCTTGACCCTGTGATACAACCTATAGGACGCAAATACATTTCTGTAATCTAAGATGTTTCCATGTCGAAAATCTGTCCGGTTTTATTCTATTCACGGGAATGTAAAGAAGACGGCAAGCAGGCCGTCGTTTGTAGTATATAGTAGTAGTGTATATATATATATATATATATATATATAGTAGTGTATATATCTTACATCCAGAACGAAGGAAATGAAGACAGGCGAAAGTAAACCGGGATACGAAGAACTAACGAATTCGAATGTGTTTTATTAGCATACTGCAGAGGAGAGGTAACCTGGTGGAATCAAAGCTGTTTTCACTGAATATAATGTGGTGGTTCCATCCAATAAGGATTCTTTATGGCAGAAGTCAGAGGACTACGAAAGTCCACTGTATCTGTGGTGCCCTATGCTCACATGCCTATCTTCAGTTCGCAGAACAATGACTAACGGATTTCTGAGTGGTATACCGCAGTAGAAACGGCGTTGCCTACTTGTGAGTAGTTTGGAAAATCATAGCCGTCACTGGGTTGCAGGCGATTCACGTGACGAGATTAGTGACTGAAGGCAGGAACGACTACCATATAGAATCGAATATATGGTTATACGTCTTTTATCAGGAATAATTGGTAGCGACATATTGATATTTATAGTTAAGGACGAAGAAATATCTTCAGGCTTTTGGCAAAAGAAACCAACCACTTAATTCGTTTCCGGCCGCTGGGTTCTTGTGAGAAATAGGGTGATATGGCCTGACCTCAGAATAAGTTCGGGGTCAGCACATATCAGAGCCCCGCACCAAGGTGGTGAACAAAAAGATCAGGAGGCGATAAGTTTTCGGAAAAAAACGGGAGCTACCCACAAAGGTGCGAAATTACAGCAAACCGCCAAATAGTACATGGGCAACTGCGGAGGCCAAACAATGGCTGGCTAAAACAGACAACTTTCTAGCAGGCCATGAACGAGGACGATCGGCTTGCATGAATTGGAGATATCCATAGAAACGTCTATCTCACTTCCCATCTCGAAGAATCAGTTTACCAGGGAACAGCGCGCAGTGAACCTGCGACTATGGTTTGTACGTATACGATCGTGTGTGACGGTTAGGGCATACAGTGAACAAATATTTGTCCGATTGTCTGTCTTCTTATTACATTACTAATGAAACGCTACAGCAGGAAAAAGGCAGAAACCGGTTACTGCTACCCTGTGTTTACTCTACACATGGAGCTGAGTGAATACGAGGACGCCGAATAGGAAGCACAATTTTCTAGGCTATTCAGCGGCGGACGCGATATCGGAACTTCAAGATAAAAACGTTGGGTGAAGCTCGGTAACCTGAACTCCACAGCATTTTGTGAGTGAAATTCGCTCAGTATATCAAAAGAGTTTCAACGAGCCCCTCACAAGCATCCGTATTTTAGTACCACTACTTTCCAGTCCAAAACAGAATCTGAGATTTTTGTGCTATACGTTTTGATGTTCGCCAAAACACACCCAAAGTTGTGCTTGAATAACTACGTGACGAATTCCTGTAAACAAGATAAACAGAGCAATCGTTCAGACAGTCGTTTATAAAGTGGATGGGTCTAACAAGTAGACCAGTAAGCAAGATCCTTACCTCATAATCATGGATGCAATTGAGTCGGAAAGGGCGTTTTTCGGATCCGTAAGACTGCGTATCGTGACGTATGGAAACATCCCAATCGCAAAGTATCAGACCGTCCGGATGAAGTGTCTCAGCTATGAGTAGGACAGAAAGGGAGGTGTGTTTGGGTAATACATAAAAACCCAGCAGAATAAAACATATAGTACATAGAGATCTGATAAGCCAGAATTCACCTACCTGAGCTACTGAGGAGGCAAGGTTCTGGAAGTCTGACTGAAATGGAACCGGTAGCAAAGCAGATAAAAAGGCCAGCGTGTAGAACACGAAGTAAACGATGTAAGCTTATTATGGGCATAGGATAGATGCACGGCTTTAGTATGATAAACTGAGTAATAAGAAAGGTCATCTCATCAGAAACAATAAAATCTGCAATACAATGTAGTTCACGAATCCCTTAACCTCAAAATCCAAAGTTAGTGTGAATACCGGACCACAAGTCCCGAAGTGGCGGAGATTGTCGTACCACAGTGTTAAAGACGCTCCGAGATCATCAGACCCTTGTCTGTTTCTTTGTGTTTCCATCGTGGGAACTACAGCTTTGACGACGTAACCGAAGGCTGCCAACGGGAGCCTCCACAAGAAGCTCTCTTCGAGAGAAATGGAAGACTCTGGAACAACACCGTGTACTTGTCAATTTGAAGAGGTGGTTATACGTAACTGTCCAAACTCAAGATACCCTACCTTTCCTTTTTAGCTACTTGGTTGTTGCAATTTATAACCCAGGTGTAATTATTACACATGACACCATACAACGAGGGGTACAGACACCAAAACTGAAAACTAAATTGGAAGTGTGAGACTCTCACGATCCAGACCGTAAGTAGGCCAGATATCAGTGTCAAGATCAGCGGAACTAGTAACGATGAGAACCTGCAAAACAAACATACCGAGGTCCAGTTGAGTCGGCTTCCATTGCTGCGAATAAGGTCTATTCTTGTAGATCGCGTCCAATATTTTCTCCTTTGCTTGAGTAATAGTGTCACAGTCCAAAACCTTCACAGTGATTTGTGTTGAACACAAACTAAACAAGGACTGAGGGTCCTCTAATGTTAGTGTCTGTAGGTGATAAAAAATAAATCGAACAAGAAGTACAGTTACTTCCTCAATACAGACAGTTTGGAATCAAATTGTGACCTCGGTTGTTAAACACTGGGAAGTGATAGTATGAGTATGTACGATGGTGAGAGTAGTCCAGTGAATATCACCGCGAGTTGAGTCCGGAAGACCCTAGATTGATACTCCATGGGCAATTTGAAATTCGCTGTTGGTCTGCCTTGATATACTGCGCACTATTTGTCCCACCAAAACAAATTAGCGAAAATTTCAGATTACTTTGGCGTCAACAAGAGGCTGAAGTGCCGTTATTGTTTATCGTCTCCCTTAACTGGAAGTGCTGCATAAAGACCACCTTGTGATTTAGTTGACTCGATATGAGAGATAACGAGGTATATTTTCTCGACATTATGCATTACTCATGAGGTTGCTGGAAGCCTTTTGACAGCCGGTTAAATATCAAGGTCATTGCTTTTAATACGACTATCCAAGAAAGCGATAGATGTGTTCGTTTCAGCATCCCTGATACGAAATTGTAAAAAACGATTCAGCTCTCTAACTGTCAGAGTACCTTTGCGAGTACGTAATTCAAGGTAATTCGCAACTGCTCACACTTTAGTGCTCAAGTAGAACATAAGGTTACTGAAGGCTCGGGGACTACGCTTACATGAAGAACAGGGAGAAGAGCAAACCCGGTCGTGGGATATCAAGGAGCTTTCAGTGTATGAACGCGATACGTCCTAACAGACCGCTTTAACCAGTGACAACTTAAGCATACAATATATCAGTTGACTTGTCCCATATTAAAATTGATGATAATGATACACAATGGACAGCATTATTAGGACATTCATATTTCTGAATGCCCGAAAACTACTGAGACCCTCTTACTCCATAAAACTCGTAGTATTGAAGCATCAGAGGCAGAAAAGTCAGTTTCCGATTGGACGCTTAAGTAGTCAAAGGCCGATGATGATAAGTGCTCACTCAACACTGATCGGACAACCTGGATTAAAGGTAAAAGTGCATTTTGAACGCGGCCATGCTTCATGTAATTTTTGCACTCGCTTGTTCGCAATGCGGCTGTTGTGTTTGTTGTTGATGGGTCTTTTTTCGGCACTTAGGCACTGGGGCAGGGACCGGCTTAGTTCCAACACCCATGTACAGTGAAACCAGTGTTGAGACTGTCACACAACTACGGTGTTTTAAGGCCCGTCCCGAGAGGTGAAAGGAAAAAAGTGAATGACAGCAGCACTAAGGCAAAGATATGAACACAAAATTTATAATCTATTAAGATAGAGTTTGATCCTGGTACACTTGACTTCAAACAACCGTATGAATATTGCGGGTGGCAATGGTATGGTCGCTATAGCTGTCTTATTGACCATTGAAGCGAATGTCAGAAGGCGGAAACAACGTACTAAAAGAGAGACGGTTTATCCTACGCCTATCACCACCCACTGCCGTACGATTCTAGGGTGGTGTACGGCACTATCCTGCTGTTACGTAGTAGACCACGGTCCTGAACAGAGCTGGTAAGAACTCTCATTTCTGCATTCTACGGGGCAACTCAGTCCGTTCGAATTGATTCTAGGTAAAGAGTACTGCTGACTATATGCATACCTCACTAGTCGCTTGCCTCTAAGTCCCCACTCAGTGAAACTGTAGTAGCTAATTTCACTGATCGGAGCACCCAAATTTAGCCCGTTTTCATATATCATACAAGGGAGAAAAATGCTATCAATGAACTATCAATATAAAGAGAAAAACTTAAGCACGGTAACCAGGTACTGTCCATACAAAAGTCAGCAACAATACTTAGATCTAGTGACTTTGACGTAATTGGGTAAAAACTTGTCGGGTTTGTCTTTTTCAGCACTGAATACATCATGCTAAATTAGCTGGGATGAGGACAGTTAATGTTGTACCGAGGCGTCTTTTAACCAAGTCGAGAATGCGGGGTGTGGGCACCAGTGAGGAATCCGAAATCAACCGCTTCCATGGCCTAACCGATAATAACGAGCAACAACTCCTATCCGTCGCCACCAGGAAACAATAAAACCAATTGGAAAAACACTTACGACGGGGCGATGCAGAGCAGACAGAATCACTACCCACCTTACCACTCGTCAAAATTAGGTGAGTAAAACCGCTTACCACAAGAGTGCCCGTCAACTCAATAGGTAGCAGCATCGAACTGTCGAGTGTGTAACGTGCTCTACCGGTTACGGCATCTCGAGGACCGGTGTTCAGTTGGTGAAGAAGTGCACGGTAGAAATAGAACAAATGTTCTCCGACACTGTTCTGTTGAGAAGAATAGAAGCAGAAGAATTTAATCAGTGTGCACAGCTCTTGAATGATCTCAAGAACGAAGAACATAACTTTAAGCAAGTGCATGGCAGGTGGTAGTACGTGAGGGTTAATTCTAACTGACACAGAATACATGTGCATATTTGCATGCTTTTCTTGCACTTACAGGAACACAAAAACCGGAATCCTATCGGTGTACTCTGCAACATGGCCACAAGACAGTGGTTTGTCACGGCGTACTACCACAACCAGAGAAAGTAGCTAACTCCTAAGCTGTACCTCCGCTATGATGTTCACCAAACCTTGTGATTTCCTTCCAATCGTGGACATCATCAGTGTAACATCAGTTGTGTTTTATCAGTACGGCTAAACGCATTCACATATACCTGAATGACCGACAAGGACGTTCGAATGTGACTTGAGGAGATAATCCCATTGATTTGTTGGTTGGTTTTTACAAGTACAGCCACCATGATTCTTGTTTAGCGGACGCTTGCACTGGCGCTCACCAGTGAGTGACTTGAATCTATGTACCGCTCAGCTCACCCAGCCGAAATTTCTATAACAATTTACTTCGCCAAAGGTGAAAACCTAACGCTCTTTGGTTGCTCGGATGAAGTTCACAATAAAATTGTAGCCCCAAAGTTAGGTGAAGGCGACGCACTGTTCAGATCATTGGAAACTTAGAAACGCAACGCCAAGGGGAGAAAATTTTGCAGGTCTGGTTGCATAGATGGCCATTGCTCTGTTCATTAAATCGGTTTGCTTCACTGCCGGCATTTCATAAACAAGCGGTATGAATCATCATTTTAGTTTCCATGAAGTGACTGGCGATCAATGCTTGGAATCGAATATGTACAGTAGCATAGCGTGGTGTCTATACCCTATTGAGACAGCAATTTTACTGGTCACTGACTGCCGTTAACGGTTTATTACGTATGGGAAAAGTAAGTCCCACACAGATTATAGCCTGTTCGAAAAACAGTAAAAGTCTATGGGTTTCGGATATTCTCCAGTATTAAAAAGCGGAATGCTGTAGCTTTTTTACCTTGATGAAATTGTACAGAAGGAACGAGAGCCAGTTGGAGACCAGTTTGTCCACAATGGCTTCTGCACGGCGAAATGCTGTAGGCAACCGATTGTTGCCCTGATTGTGCAGCCGTTGTAACATATCACTCATGAGATCGCACATGATGCTGGCGGAGGAAAGAAAAATGAAAACGCTTATCAGCTGTATAGCTACCTTTATAATCGTGGGGTGTGTCCTTGTGTATCTTCATCCGTGCCATGCACTATGCGAACCAAGAGAAATTTATCTAAACCTGGTCCCAAATAAAACCACAAATAACCTTCGAGACCGGCTACTGTTGGGTCGTCTCGAACGCGCGGCTATCGTTTCTAATAGCGTATTAAACTACTGAAAACCAACGAGTAACAAAGAATGAAGACAGTTACGTACAGAGGAAAGAAAACGTGGAGGGCCACCACCTACGCTTACAACCTTGAAAAAGAAGTCCTAAGGGAGCTGTATAAAGGGGGGAGAATTCTTAAAATCGTACGGGTTTTGTGGACCTTACTGATATTGGTTCAAATGGGAAAAAGGAGTCTGTGTGAAGAACTTTACAGTTACCTCTTCAGGTATTTAGTGTGGAACGTCTATTGAAGGCTTAGTACTTTAGTACCTGGAAGCTGAAGGTGACCACCGACGACTAGAATATGCCTCTCTGGTCTGCCAGTTTTATTCCGCAGTGCGCATTCCAAGATGACACCAAAGTACGATTACTGTGGCTTCGTTTGGCATCCTGTTACTGGTTTAAGGAAGAGCTATCTGTTCAGTACAACTTATACGTTTCAAATACTGTGCTACGACAAACAAATTTTGAAGTGCTATCATATTTTGGCTCATTGTTGGCACACAATGTTCTGGAAAGTCACGAGTTTGCGCAAGCAGCAAGGTGGGCTAGCTAGCTAGCTTGAGTGAATACAAACTATGGGTGTCCTGAGTAAAAGACCACACGCCGTCCCGTGCACCCCCGAAATACGAGTGCAGTCTCCTATTACTGTTGAGAGTGATCAAAAGGCTCAGATGGACCACGAGGCACAGACTAAGTATCGAAGTGCTCGCTGGAAAAAAGGATCGACCAACCGAAAAGGCGAGCAAATGACATAAGGCTATAACACCACCTGAACCAAAGAGAGCCTTGCACTCATGTAGACGTCGGGCGAAAACGACCTAGAAGTGGACGGAAAGAAGCTTAGCAGCTACACGTCATAGTAGGTGAAACCAGTCCGACTGCCGCCGATTTCCCCTCGGAACACGATAACAACGTGTGCTGAAGTCACAAAGTCAATGGCGCCTCTGAAGGATTATCTATAACAACACAATTTCAACTAAGATGTCATTTGAATCCCGCGGCAACCCATCGACTTAAGTATGTGGTCACCAAAATCTACTATACTCTAGAGTCAGGGAAGAACAAAGAGAACCATTGTGTGCACTGATAGTCGGTTCTTGTCGAGGCCTCTCAAGGAGGATTCCGGGACGGCCCAACAATAAATAAACTTGAACAAACTGCCAATTCTAACTTATTTGTCCAAATTCCACTCCGAACTAGGAATCGCCCTCACATAAGAGTACATGCGTTTAACGATGAATTAGGCGATACGATGCGAAACTACTGAAAAACAGCGAAAGGAGACACAAAGGATTCTCAAGCAGCCCACCGTGTGAGGTACTCCATTTTCGGCTGCAGTGCAGCGCAAAGCAGCGACGCGACCCGAGACCGATCTTGCACACCGATATGTTCGTTTTCTTCGATTACGCGAACCATGAGTGAGAGGAAGAATCGGTTGCAGATGAGTGCGTGAAAGAGTGCGATTCCCTTAGATACTGCATCATGTGACTCTTCCAGGACCTGGGGGGAAAAACAAAAAGACCGACTCGAGGTGCTAGATGTTCATGCATTGGATAAGGAGTCAGCTAGAAATATGCAAAAATCTCCATCCGACTGTCATGGAAAGGACTCATCCTCCAGAGGCAGCATACTGAACTGTAGTTAATGACAGCAGCAGGGAAGAGCGCCGCCTAATAAGGTATATCTATGATAAAACCCTGTGTGGCAACAGGGCTGAGCACATTAGATCAAAGGATCTAGACGTCATACACAAGCGATCATTAAAAAACTCAGACAATAATACAAAATACTGCAAACACCAGCTAAAATGATGTGATATGTGTTTTTCTGCAAATAAAATCGAACAGATATGGATGACAAATTGAACGGATAGAAAGTTCAAATATGTTTCAGGGTAGTTGGTGTCTTATCAAAAGAACACACGTACCTACCAACAGTTAGTAAAATGACACGAGTTCACTAATAAGTGGGAATCAAGACGCAAAGAACACAAAACGGACATTTCTGTGGGTCGGTTGACATCATTTGGGATGATAAGAATTGGTGCTGAGGACAGTACCGATCCTAATCGTAGCGTAAAGGCCTTCGAAACAGTTTATGCTAATCCATTTCGTCGTGATGTTTCGGATCGGTCTGACGGCCGATGAAAGTTAAGACAGTTGAGAAAGCTGAGTCATATAGCTTGGCTAACAGGTCCACGGGACACCTCATAGATATCGGACTCTAATACGTCAAGGTGAACAGGGTAGTACCGCGTCTGAGATGTTATATGCAATCACGAAACAAAAACTCTACAGAGGTATTCAAGCAAACATTCACGACTCCATACCGTGAACTGCGACAAAAGGGGGTGCGTTGGAACGGAAGTAGCATCACCCTCCTTTCTGGTCATGCCGGGACTCTGATTGCCAACAGTGGACGGTTTTGCCGTTTTTCGCGCCCCGAAAGAACAGGGATCTACCGGCAGCATCAGCTCACAGTGATACTCCGGAAAAAGTGAGAACAGGCAGAACGTCCGGTAGTCCCGATAAGGTAGGTTGTGCTTCTTAACGCCCTGTGAGAATTCCAGCATGCTGGTTTGGAGTTCCATAAATTCTAGGATCGAGAGAGAGGGAGAGGAAAGTATCATTAAAGAGTCTAATAAGAGTATAGTCGCAAAATATATGCTTTCGTCAGAAAAATGTTGCGCAAGGGGATCCCGTTGACAAGCTTATGATCTTCTCTGTCGTCAGCAGACTGAATTATCACAAATGCACCCTATTGAGTCCAGTGACAATCCCTTTCCTGGCTTGCTAGGCATGGCAATATTTGCTAAAAATGCTATCGCTCCAAGCGGATTGCTGAGCTGTCATATGGTTAGTCTTGTTTTACTAATGAATGAAGGTTCTGGACTACTTTTCTACTATATTGAATACAAGGTAAAGCACCTTCACGATTCTTATCTGTGGACCCCATTCAAAGAGTCATTGTGGTTCGTCAAAGCATAAAAATGTCGAGTCAGCAGGAACACCTTAAGTAATAGCTATGAATCTAGCCCAAGGATTTCTGAAAATTCCATCAAACAATACGGCTAATGCTACACAGGGAATGAACGATAAAGGAATGAGAAGGGCCTGAATTTGGTCAGAGCCATCCGCTCGTCCATAATGCTTCAGTATCTACAGAAAGTCTTGATTCATAAAACTTCTGTTTTAACCTACAAACACACACACGAGTCGGTGTTTTCCGCGGTTTGCTTGCCAACTGATTTACTATACTAGTACTGTTCACTGCACGTGGGACGCAAACGACTGCCTCGTCAACTCGTAATATATGGAGTGGTGCACCGGTGGAAATATGAACATATAGCATCGGTCACGTGGGCAGAATCAGAAGAGTAGCCCAGGGTAAAATTGCACAACTGTGCAAACAGATAGAGAGGCTGTCTTGATCGCGGTTGTGAGTCTCAGAAATCCTGTGGCATGTGCAAGTTTATACGTGGTAAAGCGGTTTGCTAATGTCGCTCGAACGGTGGTGGTGGTGCTCGGTGAGATGAAGCCAAGCTGTTCAGGTTGAGGGATTGTCGGCATGTCAGTTTCGGGCACGAATAAGTGCGCAATGGGAGCTGGAAATACACCAAGGTAATCGAGCCAGTCCACATGTGCTTTGCAACAGATGTTTGCTTGCCCACGAAAGTCTCCGTAAGCCGAGTTATTCACCTTGAATCACAATAATTTACAGAATCAAAGAGTGCAATAGGCAGGCAAGTCCCGACCTACCTTCTTTGAAAACTCGCACAACGCGGTTCTCGTGTTCCGCATACTTTTGATCCAATTTCGCCTGGTAGTTACGTTGCCTCTGATCGAATCGACGCCAGATGGTGAATACGATCAACCCGATCAGAATAAGGAAGACAATCACACCGCTGCTAATCATGATTAGCTGATTGCGCAGGGCTATTCTCCCCATACTCACAAAGCGTACGACACCCGGATGATAGATTAGGAAATGACCAAACTGAAATGGATTTAAAACAACCAAAAGGACGCGCAGGGTGATAAGGGAGATACTTCCAAGTGCACTAGTGAAAGTGACCCTTCAACAACAATAATAACAAGAACAAATACATCCATTTGTCTACCAACTGGGTTTCAAGGGAGAATTAACCGAATCTCTCATTTATGATATTCTTCAACTGAATGTGCTTCACAAAGGCCACCTTATATATAAGTTGGTACGATATTCGACATATCGCAGTATACCCTCATGAAGGAAACTACTCACAAGGCTACTGAAGACTTTTCAGCAATCTTGTGAGTAGTTTCCTTTATGAATAACAACAACAGTTTAACAGAAAAATCTGACAACCCCAGTACGGATTCCTCATCCTCCTCCAAGCTACTGTTGGTGATAATTCGAGTCACAAGATTTTTTAAACCATTTTAAGCACACAACTGCAACTGAAGGGAGAGACCATTATGAGATCAAGAAATAAAACAATTCAGAATCGAAACGGTGAACACAGTTGGACGCACCTGCACGACGACAGGATAATTCCGTCCGCTGATTAGAGATGCCCGATCTAGATCGCATCGTATTTCGGAGGCGATGACGGAGCTTACGAAACAGATGTGACTGTTTCCCAACCGAACCGAAAGCTCTTCGGGTGCAGCCAGTTCCGGAGCCCTCACAAGTGATTCAAACTGCCCATGAAGCCGCAGTAGTTGATGCGATTGAGGTGTCCGAGTTTTCTCGTTATCACCGTCCATCTGCGAGCCGTTGGTTGAAGCACTGGATTCCTGAGTGCTACGTTTAGGCATAACCTTACGTTGTTCGCCCTCTGCGATATCTGGATTTTTGACGGAAGTGAAATCGTCTAATTCTTCATGACGTATGCCACCCGGGAATGGGTGCACAACAGGATCGGGAAGTACCTAGTGCACAAAGTAAAATTTATTTAATGACGTGCTAAGAATGCTCCACCTCTGGGGGAGTGTGATACAGATAGGGAAGATGACTTATGTCAAAATGAGAAAAAAAAATTTTGTGGAATCTTACCTGCTTACACTCAAAAACCAATTAATCCAAAGGTGACCGTGTCTGAAACTTAAACCCCTCCCACACAGCGAACTCTCAAAATACGCACGTGATCTATAGCTCTCAAAAAATATACAGATTAGACAAATAATATGATAGGAAGGCAAACGAGCTAGATCACGTTATATATATGTGCGCGTGTGTGTAAGGCTCTTCTAATGTGAGGTTCGCGTAAATTAATGGGTCATAGGGCTGCATGTCGGTTGTTCTGACAAGTCTAGCTATACACAACATCGTTTAATTAAAAGAATGCATTCCTTGCCTGCAGGGAAAATAAGGGAACAGTGGATTGGCATTTGTGCCCAAAATACACATGCGTCGATTAACCACTGATATGCACACGCCGGTTCGTGAATGTGTCCAAACCGAGAGAGAGAGAGCCATGCACCCTACCAAGTCTATTCTCCAAAACACTGCTAAAACTTCGTCGTGGTGCTGTCCCTGAGATACATCTTTCAGTCAGGTTATAGAGCGCTTTTTTGTCAAGTGACCTGACTGCACAATTCGATCGTTGAAATATTGTATTAAACCATTAGGACGCAAAGCAAATGAACTGGCAAATGCAAAGCTGCGTTCGCTGAACTTCAAAGTAGGGGTAAGAAAGCAGTGGGGATACTTGGAAACCTGAAATATGCTTATGGGCTATGAGTTCTGTTACCGGCTGTGCCAGCTCAAGCATTGCATTTCAACGATCCTGAGCTTTTTCAAACCCACGAAATTAATTTCTAACTGGGCATTTAAAGACCACGAGATTCAGTCGATTTTCTGTTTCTGACATGAAGATAAACTGTCACAAAATGATTGTTACTTGAATGTGCCCAAATATTGGTAGCCGGGGTGGGTTAATTGGCTGTTTATCACCTGCCACCTGATTGTGACTTCGCCGAGACGAATGCAAATTGCCTCTGATGTGACAAAGGGAGTACGTACTTCTGCAGCATTTACGTGGACAGGACTGAAAAGTCCTGTCGTGCATGGGGAGATTTCCCGTGAATGCAATTTGCTAAGCCACACGGTCCCTCAATGGGAAAGTACATTGTCTTCATGACAGTCACGCGCACTTGACTCGGCGCATGGCCCGTCCATCCCACAATTATACATAGGTTCAACACATCCTGAGGATACAGCCATAAATAGTTCAAAACATTTCACTGAATAAATAAATAAACACGCACCCTATATCTCCATAAGTACAACACTGATGTTTGAGGCGATGGGTGCTGAGTTAGGCGATTTGTGAAGTTAGAGTGGCGGTTTGATACGAGCTGCGGATCAGAGTGGTTACTCCAGTTGAACGAAATTAGGGGACTAGGATGCGGGGCATCGTAGGGATCGCGACCAACAAGCTCATACAATAACCGCAGAGTAGCTTTGTGTAGGTAATTCTAACGAGTGCGAAAGACTGTACACTGAAAGTATTCGAATCATCCTACCTAAACAATCACAAATGTAACACTAACTCTTTCTCGTAACACCCCTAAACCTAATAACTGTTGCTGCCCAACGGGCTATTCTTCTTAAGTGTATCCATAAAGGTAATATCGTGTTTTCACAGCTAGTGTTTCCCAGTATGCGATGACCGACCTGGCAATGTAAGAGGCAAATTGTTTACGATACGTTTAAAGGAAGCATCCAAGTAACCGGGTATTCGGTAATCAGTGTATTAATGGAGGTTCAAGCACATAAGGCACTCTTTTGGCGCTGTGAGTTAGGTTTTGAAAAAGATCAGTCCAATTTAAATAATCGACCGATGCGAGAACTGTGCACTCCTGGAGCACTGCAGAAAGCGCTTCAATAGCAACAACAAAACGTAAGACATCGGTTGAGCCAACAGTTACATAACCGGCAACTGACCTGCAATGACCCATAGACTCGTAATTGATTAACTCCATCCAGCACAAATCCGAAAGCCAGTCTAGATGGCCACTCAGTTGTTGACTTCCGCAACGACTGCATCGCTGTTTTTCTTAGATTCAGTTCCACATCACTTAGCAGTTCTGTGGATGCGTTGGTTCGAACAGTAGCGGTTTGAGGAAAGGACAGCAAGGTGGACGAATTTGGGTTTCCAAACAATCCCGAGAGCTGTAGACGGCCAGGATCAATATCGAAACGTGAAACCTCCAAGTGACGTCCTATTGTGGGACTGATGCAGTTCAGACCCTCGTCTTGACGATACATACAGGGCTGTGCAGGAGATCAACGTACAACAAGATGTATTACGAATAAAAAAATACATCGACCATGACAGAACTGTCCAAGATAGTAATCTACTAAGGGAACTGGATGATCGGCCTTGTTGACCACCACGCTCGAAATAATGATGTACATAGGAAGCTTTGTAACCAATTTTTACACTACACAGTACGGCGCAATTGTACCATAACAAATCATTCAGAATTATTTGACGGATGGCATCCGTTAAAACTGAAAAAGTTTCCGACAGATAGGAGAAGCTATGAACAATAGATATCGCACGGTATATGGCGGAGGCCTAGAGGGCACCTGATAAGGAAGGCAACGAAGAAGAGGCCCGAGCACTTGAAAGCGACCCTCATATACCGAAAAGCCACAGAGGTGACCGAACTCAGTGATTAAGGCACCAGCTTACGGACAGGAAGAAATGTAGTTCGAATCCAACCTCAGCATCTCGACTGTTGCTGTCTAGGCTTGGGCAATTTGGCAGTATCCCAGCCCTCGTGTCTCCTTCCGTTGGCAGCAAGTGACCGACAGGGCGCTACAGCTGAATGCGACCGTAACGATTTATATGTGCCTGTTTGGAGAGCTGGATGATCTTACGTGCGGCAATCTACCCATGGGACCTTCATTGCGCCTGACCTGAGGGTGTGAAATATGGTGTGAAATATGTGAAATATATGACGTTCACCAGTGATACTGTCTGAGTGATTACTGGTGTTGTAGGACGTCTTTCTGTAACCTTTTACACAAATTAATTAGTATCGTTGTACGGTGCTGCTGGTGCCTATGATAATGCCTATACATCTGGTACACAGCGTGTTGTATCCTGAAAAGTAATATCCTTGAACGTCAATGAACGAAAGTCTTTCGCGATATCCAGTAATTATCCCACAGTGGCAGACAGGTTTTCAAAAGCGTGGTCTCCCACATGGTGTGCCGGCTGCCACATCTTCATCAGGGGCTATATGGGTGACGACTCCAAGTAGTAAATGCTGCGCCTGGTGAAAACAGCGAGAAAACTGAAACCAGACATTTCTTGTACGGCCTAATCAATCGCGGAGCTCCATTAGATCCAGAAAGGGATACTTCAATAAGCCAGATGACATCAGAACCGAATGGAAAGACATTCCATCGAACAGCCCAACCAAAGTCTACATTTTCATCTGCCGTAGCAATGTCCTCCAACCTTTGGATTTTCTTGATTAAAGGACAATAGCATAGATAGTCTGTGCTGAAGTATTTCAGTTAGCTTATGTGAGCACCTTGTGTTTGCTCAGCTTCAGCATCCCCTTTGGCTGCCATCGATATACCATTCAACCGGTGCCCAGAGTGCGGTATGAAGCACTCTTTAGGAATTGGAGTCATCACCGATGCAGCAACCTTCATTTTGGGTCTTGTTATTGATTTCATCGGCGTTTTATGAAAAAAAACGCCTAGATATCGTAGCACACTTACACGACCTAGTAGAGGACTAGAGGAAATCCACGTCCACCTAGCATACCACGTAGATATGAGAAATGACGCGTGCCGATCCTATTTGTATTTTCTTCCGACTAAGTACGGTTGCTTTGATACATAAGGTACCAACCATTCAGGAACTGTGCCACAACAGTGCCGTTACGCTCCATACTGCGGCAAACAAATTGGGGATAGACCATCTTCATGATACATCGGGAATTCTGGCCTGAATCACCACTGAACAATCGGTGGTATGCACTTACAACCACTCTCTGGCTAACGTGACCTTTCGGTTAACCTGGCGAAATGCACACACTTGAATATCCATTTGGTTTTCACGGGAGACCCAGGTGAATCTCTCGTTTACGATGTCCTTCATCAAGCAGAGCGCAATATTGATGGACATTGGAGGACTGTGCCTATCTGATGAGCCCCAAGTAGGGAAAAACCGATGGTGGACTGTCGAGGAGTCTTCACCAACCCTATGAGTAGTATGTTACAATATCACTAATTCGCCCACATAAAGCGCGATTTCATGAATGTACGGAGGCACAGGTAACGATCGAGATCAGCATTCAGAAGCGGGCAGCGAGGGCTACCAGCAAGAGCCAAGTTAGTTTATCAGTTTCGGTTTTATCACCATTCAGCCTGTTGACGAAGAAATTGACTATTAGGTCCATTAGGGAAGCTAGTAAACGAGGGCCATTGACTCGAAGCCCTCAGTTAGCTATCGACCATTTGGTTTTCAGGGAGACCCAGGTGAATCTCTCGTTTACGATGTCCTTCATCAAGCAGAGCGCAATATTGATGGACATTGGAGGACTGTGCCTATCTGATGAGCCCCAAGTAGGGAAAAACCGATGGTGGACTGTCGAGGAGTCTTCACCAACCCTATGAGTAGTATGTTACAATATCACTAATTCGCCCACATAAAGCGCGATTTCATGAATGTACGGAGGCACAGGTAACGATCGAGATCAGCATTCAGAAGCGGGCAGCGAGGGCTACCAGCAAGAGCCAAGTTAGTTTATCAGTTTCGGTTTTATCACCATTCAGCCTGTTGACGAAGAAATTGACTATTAGGTCCATTAGGGAAGCTAGTAAACGAGGGCCATTGACTCGAAGCCCTCAGTTAGCTATCGACCATCTTGAAAAATGGTACATGAGACCGTAGACGAGAAATGATATACCAACAAGATAGAAGACTATTGAAGCTATGTAACGAAATAACATAAGAAACAGTGGTAAGAAGCAACTAGTCAACCGATTGGTTATTGAAAACGTTTCTAGTGGGTTTCTAGTGTGGGTTTTAAAACCACGCTACTGCCGGCGTTTAAGCAGACTGTCTACCTATCATACGTCTGGTAGTTAGATACTCACAGAGCTGTGTTCAGACCAGTTGAAGTAGAACACGATACGGGGGGTTTCGATGACAAATAGGAATTTGCCTTTCACACGAATGCTCGTCCCGGCACTGTAGGTCGAAAAAAAGCAAGAACCAACAACCAGGAGTTAGTTCCATATAAAAGCGCCAACAGGCAGTAAAAATGATCAGAATGCTTCATCATCATCATCATCATCATCATCATCATCATCATCATCGACAGCATGACATCAGTGTTCAATACCGATGCTTCAGTGCGGTACAATCATGACTTATTTGAAAGCCTTATTGTAAAGAAAAGAATAAAGGTGGACGGGAGAGCGACTTAGTGCTAGCTTAACACAATCATTCCGTGGTGCCACCACACGGTGCCTCCACACATTCACTCAGGCAATCTGGATAGAAACTAACTGCAAGAACGCCACTGACATCGGTTGGCAGCCATTTCTTGTAGTGTCTCCAACCAGGCCCAGTGGGGATCACACGGTCCCCATCCTAGAAGGCGAATAGCACCGACAGCACCCAAGCGTTTCGTAATCTCCTTCATACTCCTCTGCCAAGTCAAGGGTTGGCCATCTCTCTGTTTACGCCACTCCGAGTTGGGCATGGAAAACAGTACTCTCTTCGGCAGACGATGGTTCGGCATACGTAACACATGTCCCAACCAACGCAGCTTCTGGTGCTGGACACATTCTTCAATGGAAGTACCCGTTACACAACCGAAAACACGCTTTCTAACTGCCTCGTTACGGATTCGCCGACACCAACCCACACGAGCTATGGTTCTGAGACAACGATTGTCGAACACCTGAAGACGTCTCAGGTCCGCTGCTCGAATAGGCCAAGTCTCACAGCCATACAACAAAACAGCCCGTACTGTAGCTTGATACACACGTCCCTTCAGATTCAGGGATAAACCATTCTGACGCCATAGGTGTCTCAAGTTAGCAAACGCGGCCCGAGCCTTGCAGATTCGTGCATTCACCTCATCTGTCACACTACAATCAGAACTAATACAACTTCCAAGATACGTAAAACGCTCCACAACTTCCAGTACCTCTTCCTGGATTGTAAGGGGCGTGTTCAGTGACTGCACGTCCACAAGCATGACCTTACACTTTGTAGGTGCAAAGTGCATACCAAAGGACGGGATGACTTTGGTCAGTTCATCCAAGAATGCTTCGGTCAACAGGTATATTAGTAGTGTGAGGAGATTTAAATATTTCCAACTTGGATCCGTCCTACAAGTGAAATAAGTCAGTGCCGAAAAATCGAGAACCAACAAAGGACTGTTTCGTCCTTACTGAACATAGTCAGTGGTGCTCATCTCAGGAAAATTAAAAGTTTGGAACTTCCAACTCCCGCGCGTAGTCTGAACATCTAACCGTTCGACACGACCAGCTGATCACTGTAATTAGGCCGCACTTAGACAGGATATAGCGCCATTCGTCCTTCAAGCAAAGAATCCATATCGCGCGGTCAAACGCGTTGAATGGCTCATCGAGTGACGAATTCACAGCAAACTTTACTCATCATGTGAATTATTCTTCATCTGAGCTACATACAAGTACCACATATTCAGTGGAAGTCCATCCAGGTCACAGGTTACACACTTTCGCATGGGCTGCTTATGGCTAGTAACACGAGTACAGGGATACCGTGGTCAAACTACGTGTGACACTGCATCAGATGTCTCTGGGTGTTTTCTGGCTCAGGTCGGATTGTATTACTTGAAATTTTCGAATGGGTTCAAGTCCGGTAACAACAATCTTCAATAAAAAACGTTCTAGCCTCTTAACGGAATCTGTAAGACACTCGGTAAAATTTGACGGATTCTAAACTCCATAGAAAACATACGTGGAGTCAAGCATTTGCTTAGAAAAATGGAATGGCCTGTGATGTCCTTCAACCGAATGTTTATAGTGTCATCGGGTCCAATTGGGTCTAAACTCGAAACATCGGAGATATTTCCTTGGTATAATATACTAATAGTTCATCATACCGGGGAAAAGTTCACACATTCGATTTCCGAAAAGTGCACTTTGAATTCGATCAAGTTTGGTGTCACGATATTGTGGTCTTGGGCCAACAGCATAGCATCATGCGCACGTTTGTGGAACTTGACATTCGCATAACGACGACCAAGCGTTTGCGCCTGGACCGCTGAGTGTGAAACTGGCGGTGCATCGGTCGAGTGCCACTATTGTCATGCTCGGAATTTAGGCGACCACGCGAGGATCGAAACGGACACGCAGGCCATGACTAAGTTAAATTCAATTGGTGTTCAAACTCTTGTCGGAAAGTTACCCGAAAAACCATGGGCCGTCCGATTTTAGGAACAAATTTACAGGCTCAATATCGAATGAGGTACAACTGACATGCTGTGTTACCGAGTGTGACCCATAAACCAGACAAGGTCCGTTAACCGGCCATATTTCCCACAGGGCTGCAATAAAACCGAAGCCTAGCTTCGGACCACAAACCAATTTGAGTAGTTCAACTAAATACATAAGGCGAAACTATGTCTGTATGCGCGAAATGTTGTAAAAAGAACCAGGTAGGCCCTTATATGGCAACCTATCGACAGACAAGCTGACAAAATGGATTTACGGCGTAGTCGTTCCGAAGATATAAAACGAACCTGCAGTCCGAACTAGCCCAATGTGCGAAACGAATGGAAACATTTATGCGAAAGGCAATAAACAAAAGACTTCATCTGCTCCTCTCCATGGCTCACACGAGGACTGATGACAATCACTCCGCGGACAGAATGAGGGCGAGAAATGTGTAAAGCGTTGATCTCCCCACGGAACCACAGTTTTATTATTATTCACTGCGAATCAAAGAATACGCAGTTATGGATAAACAGAGCACTTTTCGCATCTAGTCTGTTCTGCATGCAGAACCGAAAATGCTTACCTTGCCAATACATTTTCTCTCTCAACTGCATCGATGTGCGGGTTGGGAGAGTAAATGAATTTGACCGGTGTAGACGGGTTTGTTACTGTCATATCGTTGTGTAATTGAATGGACATTGGAAAATGGCCCTCGTCAGCCTCCTCTTCCTCCTCCTCTCCATCCACGAAGTTCCCAAAATGTTGCCTGTTCTCAAATCTCCAAGCGCCGTTCCTATCGTTCATGCTTTCAACCACGGTCAGGGGTAGCGGTCGTGTGCGGCAGGTGATCACTTGATCAGACTCCCTAGAATAAATGAAACAGAGCAACATGCACAAACTGATTACGGCAGAGCTTTTAAATGTTAGGTCGCAACTGTCAGCTACCGTCAACCTGAGTGCTTGCCAACTGGATGTGCCTGAGTTTCTTTCGGTCGATCGGCTTTTCATCCCACGGTGAGTCAATGCAATAAACTGATCAACATCAACAAGGCAGCTCGTAGAAATGATTTCATGCTGAATCCCCGAATACTTGTAGGATGTCATTTGGAGTATTGGTACCTGACTGGATTCTGACGCATGTAGACAGTTTTTTAAGTGAAGTAATACAGGCACCGTATTGGACGGCAAGTGACATTTTAGAAGAGAAAAACTGATCTAATTCTGTCCCCGTATATTTTGTTACTGAATGCGATATCTAGCCATGATGATCTCTATCGATGATCTCTGTCACTTTCTTAATAAGAAAATGTACCAGAAGCTTTCAGTAATAGTTATACTGGAGTAGTGGTTGCACGTTAAACTAAATAAAATCTAAATTGGAGAAACAACTCGCTTGCGAACTGAGCTAAGGAAAACCCTAATTAGTTTCCCACTTGATACATTTTCCCCAAAAGTACGCGCGAACCAAAACCTCAGAGGAAGCAACAAGTCACGATTTGGAGGAATACGCCAACCTGATTTTGCGCTTTGGTCAATCGTGTGAAAAGGTTTGCAAGTAAAGTCGACATGATATTATTAAGCGTGTATTTTCATATGCTGTGCAATACCAGTAGTTCCAATCACACGAAACGAGACTGGATTGGCATACGGAATTAATCCGAAGATTATTATTCCACATTTGTTCAGAAAGGAGCTGACTCCATTAACAAATCCTGTATACTACAGTCGTATGGATGTATATAAGCATCCATTACAACAGTCACCTTACAGGAATGCGACCACCTCCTGAAAATGAACATGTTCTATTAATTTCTGTCAAGACATTCTACAGAAACAATACTGTATCAGATATACGGGAAATTGGCATAGATCATTGAACAATGGACGTAAAACCAGTTGTCTCGTGAATATAGTTAGCCAAACCAGCTAGAAAGCTGGAAAATACTGTTCAGTCCTTCCGTCAATGTTGGAAGGCACCGAAAACGAGTTTTTAATGCATTTCAAAATACGAAGCTGATATGGATGGTTTCAGAATGTGTTTCTCATCACTTATGATGAAAATTTAAAATTAGCAGAACCGCAAACAGTAACAAATTGGACGTTCATCACAAAACGAGGCTCACCGCTCAATATCACAGGGAAGCGATAACTCCAAAGGTTCACCATTCTTCTCATCAACTCCGTTCTTGTTACGTTCCAAATAGACGAATCTTTTGGCTCCAACATTTAAGTTCTTCCCAGTGAGGCGTAATCGCGTTCCCCCAGCTATTGGTCCTCGTGTTGGGCTAACCTCGGTAATCTCAGGTTTGAGAAACCGGAAAACGGGAGACAATGCCTATTGTGTGCAGGTTGCGAGGAAAATATTAGGTGCATGTATCAAGAAGGCACTGATTCGAACAAATCAAACAAACAGACTGGAGAGTTTGTCATCAATATCCTTTAGTTGAAGTGATAAAGGGTGTGAAAAATGACAAAGTGGCTCGGGAATAGCCATAACTTGCAGCGCAAACTAAAGTACACTTGTGTGAAACCCATATTTTACATCTTCAATCCTTCAATGAGACATCCACATCTCGTCAAGAATCTGACCGATGACAACTCAGTGAGGAAAGGCGCTCCGGGGATCCAAATAATGACCGAGAATGCCACCTACTTGACCAATCTCGTAACAATAGTACGAGAGAGTAGATGCCAAACATGTGATTTTGGATAGTTCGCCAAAAGTAGGGTTCTGTAGCGGATTCAGTTCCAGCTAGTGGCCTTGGAAAGCTGGTCTCACATGGCAGTTGTACACAACTGGTCACAGCCATCCTATTTTTTTTCGTTTGAAGATAGAAACATAGACAGCGACGCACTTTTATACCCTAAAGTGTATATACTACACCCTAAGTATAAAGGCAGTTCCTGAGAGGGTTGTACATGGTACGTCGCTGTTTCCAAGAAAATCTAGAGCTAACCCTTCAAAGAGATTCTGCAGTACAGAAGAGGCCACAGACCAAAAAGTGTAGCAACCTAATGCGTAGAACAAAAGCCCCCAAAAACCCTTTTTTTTGAGGAGACGCCAAAAACGCTATTGAAGGGATTTGGGGTTCCTTTCAAAAAAGGTTTGTTTGCTAAGAGGAGGAATGTTGACTGGCGGTGGTACAATTCAGCTATTGAGCATCACAAAAAACTCAGGCACGACAAGATTAACAAATCCCTAGCATGAGAAAATCAAATTTCACTTCCAACTGCTTCGTCTGAGACTCTTGTCTCATTCCAGCCTGTAAATTTCTCCGGTGAGATTTGGGGTTGATGACATTGGTTACAAACGAGGGATAAACGAAAAGTAAAAGTCTCAAGTTCGAAATTAACCCAAAACCCAATAGAAACACCACCAGTTTCAAAGTACCTGAAATCGGTGTTCACTGATGACAACCTTCAAACGACCACTGGCGGGCAATGTGAGATAATCGGCGGACGAAAGGCGGCAGTCAAATGCTCGGGAATGATTGTAAGATGCGGAAAGGATGGCACACGGCACAGATCGTGGCGTTTGTAGGTAAATACCTCCTGCTAAATCACCAAAACCACGACCAAGATTCCGACCCTCAATGTGCAAAACAGTTCGACCAGTTAATGTTCCATTCAATGGCGAAATCTGTGTGGAAAACAAAACAACACGATGATTTGTTTAAATATCTGCATTGAGAAAAACTAAGTTATTTAGCCAACCGAAAACTGGGAAGCCTAATGGTTGAAAAGTTCAACTAGTGTACGTGAACAGGTGAAAAAAAGGAGTTCCGACTAACGGAATGCCAATGCTGTGTGTGGTAGAAATGAAAACGCGAAATTAGCCTGTTACCATATCCATCAGAAGCACCGACACGACAAAACGCGGGTCGCCACACACATACAGGGGGAAAACGGATTTAACATATAGTTTGCGGATTGTTAACTGTATTCTTCTTGACTTTATCAACAACAGACATGTTCTGTTTCAAATGAAAAGAGTCTGTATTACTACATTCGGAGGGGTTGGGGGCTGAGGTTCATGTTGTCGGGAATGAGGTGAAACACCCAAGAAAGCAGCACATGTACATGTAGATGTAGTAGTGTTGTGATCATATAGAACGGAAAGGCTGGAAAAAATAGGTGGGAAACATTTCCTCCTCTCAATAAACATGCCGCATTCCTTTACCACCGCATATATACTCGACAGTATTTACTTGCGCTCTGAAGTTTCCTGAAGTTCATTCGTTATCCCTCTGCAGGAACGTGACACCCCGTCTATTTGAAAATGCATGGTAACAAAAACTGTTCTTTCTATTGTTATTTCGTAATCAGTCAGGGTCAAAGTAATGTACATTCGCAAAAGCAGAAAAAATACAACCATAAAGCATCGAACAAAAGCAATAGCCTGCAAACGAAGTGCGGAGAAACGACCAGAGCCCACGGATACTTCTGTGCACGGTCGAAGAGATGTTCATCGTAAAAAGTTCAACTTTTCCTTCAAGTATAATAAGGATGCTTTACGATGAGTGACGCGTGATCAGGCCAACTGGTACTACACGTATCTTAGCTGATGGCCTGAGGATATTCTTATTCTTAGTCTGTCTCATCGGAGTTGTAAAAGCTGATCCCATAAGGATGGCTACATGAGTTGGATGAAAGCGACAGTTCTAGAATGGCCACTGTGTAGACATTCTACTGAGTATCGCGAAACGACCAAGATGGAGTGAAACCTGTGGTTTCCCATAAATTCAGGTTCAAATAAGAGGCGCGACAGAGTTCTGGGAAATCATGGTCAGCAAAATGTCAGTTCAGAAATTTAGGCTCTGATGCCGAGTTGAGCTTAGCAATGGTGACAATCAGTAAACAGCATGTTAGTAACCAGATTCAGATGAGACTCAGTCATACTAAGACAGCATAAGTGTGGACAATACTAGTCCACATGCGGCATTCGCATATACAGCGGAATAGGATGACAACGTTTCACGTTTCGACATACAGAAACGCATGACCCACACCAGACACACAGAGCTAATCAGAGCGAATTGGGGAACGACTCAGAATGCCACACTGAACACTGCAAGTGACTAGTGGAAGGCGGTCGGATTAAGGATAGCCAAAACCCGAATTCACCGAGTCGATGACATAACTATGGTTTGTGATATCATGCTTGTCACGCCACAGTGATTAACAACCCCACTGATCACAAATCCAGAATCGGAAGTTAGAAGATAGCCCGCATTTTATAGAGTGAAGTGTACTTCAATCAAAGCCTTTTCACAAGGGGATGATATATTAAAAGCGTATCGTGAATACGGGCAAGTTGTTCTCGCCTCAGATGCCATATACAGCTTTATCCACCATGGTTCAACCGCGTATTAAGTCAATTCAAAGGATCATTACTAACCCTCATGTTTGGATTGCTTCGCTGCTGGATGGTTTGAAAATGGTTTCAGAACTCACCACAAGCTTCGCGACAGTTACCACGATTCCGAAGGTGCCGTATTCGTGCAACAGAAGGTACATTCGTTAAGTAAAGAAAAATCACGGTACGAAACAGACGTGAAAATAGTCAAACCTAAATGATTAGGCCACACATTTTGTAGCGCACGGCAAGGCCGCCATAAACGTACTGATGTGATCTGAGGATCCGGGCACACGTCGTCTAGATGTAACCAAGATCGTGGACTGGGCGATGACAATAGGATGGGACTGTTTGATTGGTCCAAGCACTGGTTCCGAGTACTGCACATGCTGTAATGGGAACCGACACACCAGCCACATCCAAAGCGAGGAGGTAGGGTCAAACAAACATCACAGAATTCCGCCAGCCATTCACAAGTATACACCTCCACTGAGCGGGCATCAGTCGAAGCAAAAAGGAATAGAGAAAAAAGTTAGTTGGTTTGATCATGAGTGGATTTCAAATTCTCGCAAACTATTCACCGAAACGTACGATCAAGATTTAGTATGAGTATAAAGGAAGATGGTGCCTTCGAAATAGGTCTGAATCAGTGCCTGATGATAAACTTTACTTGGATACCGACCTTTTGCGGAACAACCAGAACGGAAATGAACTGTTAAATTACAATTATCGGGTTATATAGGAAACAGATGCAACATCCATCCAAGTCGATTGGCCCACTTTATGTAATTGATGTTAGTCACCGTACTACACCACTGTACCCCATCCCATATAAGGACATATCGTAGCTGGATAAAAGGTCGACAAGATTAAAGTAAAATACAAGGCAATCACACCCAATGAATCCTGTAGAGATAGTAAAAAGTCAACGCACGTCCAGGACCCCAAGCCGGCTCGACTGGTGCAAGAACGAATCAAGAATCTCTGATATAGTTAGCCTCGAACAGTACCAGTTCTAGGTCTTCAGCATAAGTTTTCCAAACGCAAGCCACAAGGCTAGTTGATATATTGTCTAAGGCACAAAAATCTAGTCTGCTGGGTTCTCCACATCCTCATAACCACCTTTTGCTCCTGACCATGCCACACCGGCTAGTACCACTGACTGACCACTAATACTTTGGAAGGAATGTCTTCGCAGCTGCAGGAAAATGCAATCCAGCCGACTTGATAGACGCATGGATAAAGTGCATTACAGACAAATATGTGGAAAATGAAACTTTGAATAGTGTGCTTCATCCCTAGGGTAGAAGTCTTCAAGATATAAAAGAATTTTCACGAGCTGAAGCGTTTCCTGGTGGGTGGGTCGGTTATCAAGAACCAGGTCACATACACTACATACTGGGGGTATTTTGGATGATGGAAAACTCCAATTCGTTTGACTGAGAGACCAGTTCAAATCGGTGAACATGTATAATGGCCCTTGAAACCTATCGTCAGGGTAATGCCAGGCGAATGATTCCGTGTCACTTAGATAAACCTGAATAGTAACCATAAAACGAGACAATTTATCATGCATACGTAAACTCGACCTAAACAAATAGCTTCACCGTCTATCCTAGGCTACATAATCGCCAAAGATAAGTTCAATCTGGCCAAGAAAGGCTCATCGATTGTGCATAGTGTGACCAGCAGCGCAGATGACATCAACCACTAAAAGTGACTTCTAAATAATAGTAAAACTTGAACTAAGGCTTACAGAATGCCCACCGTAAAGCCTCCTTCTTGGGAATGGGTCAGATATTCGAATAACGAGAAAGTATTGCAACTCGGGTTTTGCAGGGTAATAAAGGAAAACCTTCATGTCATTACAATCGTTTCCGTAAGAAGAATGCCTACTCTTGGGACATTTCTCCACACGGGGAAATACTGAACTAGCTGCCAAAACAAAACAGCACCTGACATATACAACGTTTAGTGGCAACATTGTAGTTCGCTTGGAGAAAAGAATTACAACCGTCGTGCTATGTAGCCTGCAAAAAATATAGACTCCACTCGGACCAAGACCGAAGCGGAACTTTGCTCCATGCAGCTGTTTTACATTTAGTGCCAAGACGAAAAAACTCACGTTCCAGCAAAATCGGCTTGAAAACCTACCTGGTGGCAATGTTTGCGCAAACACTACAAAGAATGAATTATTCGACCGGGAGATGGTTTGAACATAGTCGGCGTAAAAGACCTGTGGAGAGCCGCTGTTACAATGAACGGAGTGAAATTAGGATGTCATTTTATCAGTCTGTAATCAACGGATCCTTCTACCAGATGGGCCCCTGCCTCACCTTTTTCCATGTAAAACTAATTTCAGTATCCCAAAGCCACCTGTGGGCCAAGTTGACCCACGGTTCTGGTGTGTCAATGCAATAAAATAACGCTACACGAGGTAAGGTTAAAGCTCCCCAAAAACGGATGTACACCGGGTTCTATTATCCCCAGCTGTGCAGGTCAAACACAAAGCCAGACTATGATGAAGACTTACCACTGACATTGTCCTCATTTACCATTCGGTGCCCCTCCTCGCTTCGGCTGTCCTGGCCATGCCAGAAAATATCCAAGTTACAGTGAGTGACAGCATCTGAGCGAGAGATTGCTGATCCAGGAAATTGCTCGTGCATCGATCCCAAACGCGTGTCAAGGACAATCTGTAAAAAATCACGTGTATACTCACGATTTACCAACTACATCCCAGGGAGCATTTTTTAAATTCGGACCACAGTTTTCCTTCATTTCCCTACCTATTCAAAGGTTCGGTTTGGTAAATAAAGAAGTTCCTCTACCAGGTTGTGTGGAAACACGAAGGAAGCATCGCAACAAGAATGTCTAGCTCGTTTTGAAAGCCATAGGAAACCGGTCGATGGCACTCAAAACCCAAACTAGATGTCCCAGGAAAGTTGGAAATACCTGGGATAGCAGTGGTGAACGGAATCATCGGGAATTCATTCTCCAGTTCAGTCCATGTTGTTTGAAAAAAGGAGGGACGCTGACGGACAACGAAGTGGGCAACTGCAACTCAGAGAAACACAGACGCCAGCACATGTAACCAGAATTTGCCTAGCGACGGCAAAAACTAGATCCTGAAGATTGAGCAGGTGAACCTGCAGAGAGAGGTCCACGTTGTAACCCTTATGTGAGTGCAAAATATGCTGAGCAGCGGACATTTGTGTTTGGGAACCTGACAGCATGTGCGTATTCAAATTATTTGCCAAAAGTAGCCAATCCTATACGCCTACAGACGTCATACGTAAGATGAATTTTCCGGTAGTATGGCACAAACGGAAAACCTGAAATCACGGTTCATGGATTCCTTCATCTATGGGCATTGAGGTCCCGACTTCACGGTTAGTTGAGCACACAAAAATCGAGTTTATCCTACTGGCACACTTGATAATAACAGCAAAGGCACCAATCAATGCATACGGTTCAACGAATACGGTCTCCCCCAGGCACATGTTTGCTCGACGAAGCCTACCAAGCTAACCAGTCGGAGATTGAATACCTCTTGAGTCACGAGTTGCGCTTCACAACCCGGACACAGTGTGTTGAGTAGACGTGTGAGCAAGCGTTGCATTCTACATAATCACAACACTTCCAAACACGACTTATGACTACGAGTAGAATAAGGGGGAGTAAAAAAAATTGCGTGCTATAAGACAGAGGTGAACTGAGTGTTGAAGAGTAACTAAACGAAAAGTCTAAGGTCAGAACAGCGTAATGAGATAAGATGACGGCCGATGTGGCATGAGAATATTGTTAGTTGTGTAGGTCATGGTTGTACGAGGGCTGGGATACTGCCAGGGCGCCCACACCTAGACAGGAGGACGATTAGGGTCATCAACCAAAGCCTTGGGCTCAAAAGCCTAACCGCAAGGCAGCGGTGTTTGGCGGGAAATGCAAATGCATTACCATTTCTACGGAACAAGTCGCCACATGTTCCAACCCCCAACCTGGAGGGCCAGGAGACTGTGTTCGTCAGACCTCTAACCATTGACCAACCTGGTATGAGAGACTCTGTGAGTGTCGCGGGACACTCTCCAGTATAGCTCAATGGATCGCTGAGGTGCGCAAACCGTCACACCACGGTAAGGTCCAGTCTCTTCGTGACTGGAGATAAGATGACAAAATCCGAGATTACGAATCTTCTGAAAAAACCTTCCTCAAAACTTTCTAAAATCTTTCTCGCAAGCGAATATAGGGTACATAGGGGTTCCAGATAGAAATAAAAACAGGAAGTGGGCAATTCAGCAAAACAAATGAAAAGTCGCTAACCTTTTCAATATGGCAAATCACAGTAGACTCGGAAGCGTCGTAGGAAGCAATCACCCTTTGATTGGTACATCCGTCCAAACAGGAAAAGTGTTTTAGCGGTTGCTATTTCGAGGGAGAGAACGGTTGAATAACAAACATAATTAAATGGAATAGTGCTCAAATTTGATTAGTATGAAGTCTTTTCCATAAAATCCTTCCTTCATCGGGGAGGATTACGGTCAGTATTGTCTGTTCTGGAAGTGGAGTCCTACCCCAAAAATTGGTCTCCTCCCTGGATAGAGGCCATCTTCCTAGAGGGTTCTGTGAACTAGATCATTGGATTAATGAGCGAAATGCTATTACTCTAAAAGTTACAGGGAAATACGACAATTTCGACCCCATTATTCATCACCATGGACCATAAATGGGGAAATGCGAAAAATATTCGTCACGGTAGTTGACTTCTGTATAACCTTGTTGAGCAAGGATATTAAACGGCTCTGCGCATACCTGATATCGTCTAATAAGCAAGATCATTCAACTTTCCGTACAAATGAGTGGTCCCATGGCTCGGGCTTAATACTGCAAATCATGATACGTACCGTGGTGCGAGAATTTAACCAGGAAAATCTCAAACAAGAGTGAGCTCAGTTGCTCAATAAACACTTGGCTGCGTTGCTGGCTATCCAACTGACAAGGTCAACCCTTTGGACGATCATGTGACGGGAAATAAGATGGTTCGATTCCTCAGAAGCGAAGCGAAGGTGGTTTAGTTCGGTCGGAAAGAAATCGCCGGACACTACGGAGCTGACATAATGGTCACTGTAAAGTGACGCCAAAGATTAATGGGACCATAGAGATTTCGCTAGCTGTTTCCTGGGAGTACTTCCGTAGATCAGGTGCGTCCTCATTCGCGCAGTCATAAGCCGCACTGTAAGTAAAATAGATTATGTTACCTTGCCCCCGGATGTCTTTCCAATTCCCATGATACCACGCAAGCTTACTCTATCGCGGACAAATCCAGCCTGGTCATGATCCACTAAACTCACCTAACAATCAGTCGTCGCGTACGCTTTCTCCTAAGGGCCAGTGAAAACCTACAATTTTTTATAGTGCAAGCATAGAAAACACCAAGATGTCCACAATTTAGTCTAAACTTAACCGGGTCGAAAACCGACTATGATGTACATCGGTCTACATAGCGACGATGTGAAGGTTAATTCATCCAATCATGGGTTACTTTCAACAAGAGGAGTATGATAATCGGTAGAATTTATATTTACCAACTTGTGGTAAAAATGTTCTTTAGTTGGTGGCCGATTTGAGAACAACCAGGCAAACCATCCAAAAAAGAACCTGTGAATGACCAGCAAACGAGGATGGTTTGTAGATAAAGGTAGCAGAACACCTTAATCAGCTAGTAAGATTAGGCGAACAGATTAAGCATTTAGCCTCACAGTAATAACCTATGTTTGTTGCCAGTTGTGAGAATAATATTTCGAGTAAGGGAGGGGAGCAGCATGAAGCGCGGACAAACGTATTTTTAAATAAAGGATTACTGGACTTGAGGTTCGTTCCGTCATTACACAAAACTAGGAACATGGTCGATCCACTAGAACAGGGATTTCCTGCTCAGAAAAAAGCACCGATCAGGTCACATGAACGGTCTGCAATGAAAAGGGTCATCATATTCCACTGACCGAGGTATCAAGAAAACACAATTCAAGGTAGGGATAAACTGACTGGGGACGTCGCCGAACATCACGACCTGACCTGTGAACAATGTGGTCTGCTTAATGTCGCTTCTAGCCTTGTCAGATCCTAGTCAAACCACTCAGGATATGAGTGTATTCTTGTCACACAAAGCCATTACCAGCAAACTCAGCTGCGCCGGTCATTTCCGTCTCCCTGGATGGAGACCCCGAGACGGGCAGCCACAACCAAAGTACGACGAGTACGCGGGTATGTGATCGAGCTGGTTCTATGATGTTCGCCAGATAGCTTATCCGCATAAATCCAGTGCAAATGCAGGAAAATAATTGATCACCATAAAGATGAAAAAAAGAAATGCAGGCCAAAAAGATCGAACGGTGTCACACCGTTGATTAGTGCCGAGTGCACGAATGACATGACTGGAGCTAAGGACAATGAAAGAGTGGGAGTCAAGTTGGAGAGGATGTTAGCAGTAACTTGTTTCCACTTGTTCGGCCTGCTTGGGGAGCAAATAGGGTGACCGACTTGATGGTATCAAGCAACGACCGATTTGGAATGACCAGACTTTTATTTGTGAAGTTCAAAGTGCATGTGAGAAAGGATACCGTCACGCCACTACAACCTAGATAGCCGGGGCTCCCGACCATAATATTAACTAAGGCCTGAATGCTGTTGTCGCCAGTGAAAGATTAACAGAATTGTCCAAATTCAAGGGCATAAGCTGACAAATGCGCTGAAACGCGTCACCCTGAAAGCCAGTAGACTTAGTTAAATCTATAAACTTTGACCAGCCTGATAGGAAAAACTGTCATAAAGACAATCCACAGCATAGCTCAGTAGCTCACGGAGCAGCACACACTATTAGGCCAGGACAAGCTCCAGTCCCTTTGTGATGATGAAATACAATGGTAGATTGGAAAAGCATTCACAATCATTCTGATCTTGAGTCTCCAGGGATACGTGTCCACAATTCTAACGGTTAAAGCAATGACGGGTGAACTAATCTCGTTTATGTTTGTCGGTTCTGCGGAAAGGAATTCCAAAACTATAGCCAAGAAGTAGTTCGCTGTAGACAAACCCTCCGGAACCCTAAAATTAAACGGAACATCCGCATAACAAGAACATGACGATTCGTCCTTATGGATGATATAGTTTGTGAGTGAGCTTCAAGGGATTTATGTACTATTGCCTGTCATAAACCTTAAACTCATCGTCAAGGTCCTCAAACCAACTCAGGTATAAACACGCCCATAATGCGAGCAGCCTGATACGCGTCTGGTTACAGGATGCAAAGTGAGTGTCGACGACTCTTGGTCTTTGCCGAGGGAGCTTTGCTGATACAATGGAAGTGGTTCCTCAAGTGACAGAAAGTTTGCTGTGGGAGACACCTGCCCAAAAATAGGCTACTCCTCTGAAGAGGACAAAACAACATTACTGGTCAGAGAAATTCGGTAAAGAAGAGGTCATTAATCTGAAATGACCAGTTCAATGAACAGTGTCAAGATGATTAATGTCAATGGTTGTCAAAATGTTGAGATCAGCGATTCCAGCTTCTCACAGTTTGTGATTAATTATACTTCGTGTGCGAAAGTACTACTCGTTGGACACGGTGTGAGGGAATGCACATTAATCTGTTTGGGATCATTCAAACAAACACAGCCACATCCTCACCCCAATGCCACCATAAGCAGGTGCGCCATTTGTATGGGGTCACGTGAGATGCGGTTGGAAAACTGTAGAAATCTGGTGATCAGAATGGTCAAGACGAAGGAAACAATGATCTTAAGAATGACAAAACAGCTAAGCAGTGCTGCTTGGCTTTTCAGAACAGATTGGTTCGGCTTCATCCGGACAGTTGTGCACAACCGTTAAGTGAATCTCCACTATTCTGATCAAATACAGGACTACATCTTTAGAAGAAATATCTAAGGATGATCTCAGAGAGAAACAGTTCCCGCAATCCATAATTCATTATAATAAGAATATAGAAAGTCATCCTTATTAGAAGGATACATCTATGGGACTCCTAAAAGTAGGACACTCATGGCGATTCCAAAAATCCAAGAGGAATGTATAGGCTGATCCTCCGGTATGCCATGCAGGAACCCGTCGATATATACTCACTAGAAAAGGCAGACTGTACCGAGCTTTACTCGTCAAAGACCACGAACTGAGAGGCCATGTACAGTTTTATGAACTTGAATGTGTGAGCGCATGTATTGGCCCTAAATTAGTCACCATATCTTTCTGTAACCATTATGCGACCAAATGAACCCACTAAGCCAGCATGATATGAACGCCAGTCATCATTCATTAATTGTAAACTATGTCTAGCGACATACAAGGGGGTTTTAACGACCTCGGTTGCTCATGGGGGCGAGATGGCCCAAGTTGTTAGAGCGCGAATTTACTGACCGGAAGATCCGTGGTCCTCTGCCTCTCGACTTCCCCTGTCTAGGCTTGGGCAACCTGGCAGTATCCCAGCCCTCGTGCTTCTTCGGATGGCATGGCAGCTAGGCACCGGAAAGGTGCTACAGCTGAACACTTTCTTTCTTCTTTTTTCGGTTACTCATCAACCGACAAAGGATACGCGCGACGATAAACCCGTTTTTAATTGGACAAAAGTATTTAACACGTCCTTTACCAGAGCAAAAAGCATTCCCGAGACATTCCGAACAACGTTCTACCTCGATATTCGGAAGAGTAAGTCCTTGGATGGAGTTCCTTAATATACCAAAACCTAACGGGTTGGTTGCATTCACTTACGCCCGTGTCATAACCATGACCTACAGGTGCTTTCACTTTTAATGTCACAGGTAACGCAAGCATCATAGATTATGGGATGCTCCACCCTCCACCATGGACCAGTGCAGATGATATATCTTGGAAGGCTTTGTTTGATGGACAGTTGTCAATAATTTGTAATGTTGTGATCTGTTCAGGTTTTCGACGCCATTCACTTTTTCGGAAAGGCTAAAGTGTGACCGGTCTCACCCAAATAGTGCTTCAATTTCTGAGAGCACTAGAAGATGGAGTGTTTACGCGTTCTGAAGAACATGTACTTCGCCTGGTAGCGAACTGAAGTATAAGCTTGGCACGTGCAAGTGTATGTTATGTATCGCCTGTGGCTTTAGCCTCAGCGACTACAATTTCTGCAATTATCATGTGAACAGCCCAGCCGTAGACGTATCAACGTGTGGTCTGACAGTATGTGACTATCATTCGGGCGTCGCGTCTTAATTGTTTCTTAAGTGTTGGGAGTATGTGTTGTTAACCACAAGGTGATTGATGGTCGCCAAATTAACAGACCTGGCGCCATTCTCACAGCTTTGAACCAAACTGGTCAAATACGTTACGCTTACTTTTGTCAAGTTTTCTCGCCCTAGTACTCTAGTCAATGCAGTGCGTCTTGAAAACTTGCTGATTATCTGTTACAGTTGCTCAGGAGAGCTAACTGTGAGGATTGAACCTGATACGGACGTCGGATCTTATACGGTAAGCACTGTCAGGTTCACCGGGGTATATTTGAAACGAGTCAATGTAATCATTGATGACATTGGAGTCCAGCTTATAAGCGCTTACTGATGAGGAAACCGCCATGAGGCAACGCCATGAAGGTTTGGGTTGTCGAATGGTCCACTGTGAAGGAGCTTTCGAGAAACTTCTTTTCTAGGAATCTGAATTCACCGAGCATTCCAATCACTAACACACAATTTATTCATTGTTTGACATTCCGGCGTTTTCGATCAAAGACACAGCCCGGACGGAGTGTGTCAGTTTCAGAGACTGTAGCGTGAAAGGGATAGATTGCACAGGGTATTATCACCGAGGTTGCATAGGGGTTGGTTACAGGTTACACACCCGGCCAGACCTTGTTTGAGGGTTCAGTTCTGAGCTTCGTACGATCAAGTGCGATCCGTAATGCAGCAGGAAACGTACAGAGGACGGTTGAACACGGCGATCATTATCATACCCGTTAGAATCTGACGGTAAGTTCACTGATGGACCAAATCGTTAGCCAGGTAAGAGCGTACGACACCCAATTCCACTGTTTCATTTCGGTGAGAATGCGGTGAGTAGGACTTCACCAGAAGAGTAGCAGGCATTTTAATGGTGCAATGACCGTTTCTCCAAGACACCTGCCATGAGCCACATTGAGTCCTTGAAGTAGAGACATCACCGAATAAGAGAACAGGTTATTTTATTGAACGAGTTGCGTCTCCGACTTTATTTTACCGCAGATTTTACAAATTGAATCCTGATGAATGTAGAATCGACGCATCCCATTTTGTTGCACTCTTCTGACGGAATTTACAGCATTTCTAACATGAGCACAGAGAACCCGTCAGTGGATATTCGAATTTGGATTTCTGCTTTAGTCCCACGTACTCCAAACACATTTGTGACTTATCAAGCTCCACTTTCGCGTAGGTGTGAATACCCCTCTGCCTCACTGGTATTTTATGGATATTTAATGGATATAACACAACGATAGATGATGATGACAATGAATAACCGCTTCTGTACGTCACACAAATTTGTCACCCGAAGGGAGTTGATTGTGTTCCTCACAATCCTCTGCCGTATGAGTTAATAAGCCTAATGATTTGTCCAAAACGTTTTTTCACTATCGAATGTCCTTAAGAAGATGCTCTAAGAAGGCAGCATGTAAGTAGGTTTCAAAGACAACATTCGGAACGCTACTTCGGTCCTACGGACAGGAGTTCACATGCAGAAAAGTCTGAAGGCCCTGGGGTTGTGTGGCTAAACAACAGCGTTCCGAGACCTGTTCCTACACCAACAAGTTATATAGTGCAATGTCGTTGAAATTCAATGAGCGAGATCACAACTCAAACTTACCCGTATGTTATGTACACGGAACTTGGCCGAAAGGGTCGAACCACTCAGCAAGGTAAGTTGTCCCTCTTCTGACTTGAAACTGGGACACTTAGGGCCCTGGAACGGAGTGAAAAACTATGAGCTGCATAGGAGGGATGTCAGCTTTTGTGGAGAAAAATGGTGAGATCCTATACAAAAATGGTTGTTCGACAAACAGATCACCACTGATTCATAAGTGTGATGAATGGTTCATTTGTTGTCCTCCTCTTAGTCACAAGAAACGAGAAACAAAAGCGGTGTGTCAAAATAAGCACTGCTGGTTGTCTGATGTGGTCGTCGGGCCGATAGTCTGGCAATTTCATTGAGAACTATGCTGATTAAAACATGGCTGCAAACCCATCAAGAACACCGGAGAATTGCACTAGAACGAAATGCAAAGAATTTTGACGAAACATTATACAATGAAATGATTCACCCCATGAAACTCTACTCAGGAATGATCCGACATTTTGAAGCACAAACCAATGTTAGTTTCAAACACGTACTGAAAACTGTTTCGTCTATATACTTAACAACTGATAAGACATTTCATCACAGTCAGGCCACAGAAAAGTCTAACATAGAGAAAATACTGAGGAACCAACAATCAAGCCTGAATGTGGGATGCAAACTGTGTAGACCAAAGGTCAAAACCATGCAGCGAGGATTCTCCATCTGCATCGGCTGGCTTCGAAATAGTTGCACCTCTAATCCGAAGTACAACGTCCTAAACAAGACAGGCTTACTTCAGGTTTAACAAGTACGGGACGAGGTCACCAAATAAACTGAATAGACAGTAGACGTGCGACGTGATTCGCCCGCTATGTGAGGCCTGCAGCACATACGTACGTCTGACAAGAGACCCGACCTTCCAGCTCAACGACTGGCTAGTCCTCCAATCAAACAGTCGTACTGCACCGATAATCATCCTTTTAGAAGGTTCATGCCGTTGTTGCATTCAAAACGGATCACTTTATTGGACGAATCCAAGGCCCCTTTGCCTAATATGGAGAGTTACAATGCGAACACAGCGCAGATCAACAAGAGTAAGAGGGCCATCTTCCTAACTCCGGTCCAATTTTGACTAACGAAGACAATATTTGACGACTTTATCCAATTTCGCGGTAGATGACAGTGTTTTTGAGACGAAAAAAACTGGACAGACTAGGTTGAATAGGACCAAGTGGGTGACTAATACCAAGAAATTACTAAGAGAAAAAGTCCTACAATAGATTCGCTACACTCAATAGGATACCAAGAATATATAACCTTTGAACGGTACTTCATCTTAAGAAGATAACCTGTTGATAGACTCAGAGAAGGGTAGTATCTCCGGAAGCGAAAATTAAGATTCCCTCTATAAAACGCACTGAATGACTCAAAAATATACAGTCGCGAACTTTGTGACAAGTCGGTCGATTGAGTACCATGAGCGGCCATTGTTGAAGCTGATTCAGGTTCGGAATCGATTGGTTGGCCTTAAGAAACGTAGAAGTATGCAGAAAATGATAATCAGGTTCATGTCTTGGTGAGCCAGTCGGACTGAAAACAGAAGAGCTCGTCTCGACAAATAGTCTCATCTGTACATGAATTTGGTTTCCGTCAGGAGACTCAACTTAATCCAGCTGAATCTCCTATTTGTGATGGTACGCTTCAATTGAATGTGTTGCACCAGACAGCCTCATTTTGCACTTGATACGATATTCGACATACCACAGTACGCTATTATCCAGTTGAAGTTGCTGAAAACTCTTCGACAGTCCACGACCGGTTTCGCCCTTCCTGGGGCTCATCAGGTAGGTGCAATCTCCGAGTTTCCGTCGACCCTATGTTTTACTTGAACTAATTGAAAAATCAGCCTGCACGGTGCAGCACATTCAGTTGAAGTGGACTATCATGAAGGAGGGATTCAGCTGGATTTGGTTGTCGCCTAGCAAAAACCGAATTCGTGTTCAAATCAGAGTATTTGTCGAAATTTGGGTTGAAAAAGGACTTGAGGCTGATGGAAACTCGGGAACTGGTGAACGCTAAGAGTGAAAGCGGTCGCGGGCTGCCGAAAACTTTTAGCAACATTATGAGTAGTGTGTTACGTCTGAATGAACTCGCTTTTTATCCCAAGTTCTCATGCGTACTGCAAATCAGTTACTTTGTGGAGATGACTGGGTGTGTGGGACAGTCAGGAGGAACAATGACCGCCGGGACAGAGTAGGTAGAATCGGGTCAGCATGGTAACCAAACTATACTCACTCTAATGAGTGCATGCGCGCGCACGTGACCGGCAGCACTGATGCTTTCACACGCTATCACGCGATATGTGGCTGCCACATGAGAACTGGTGTTTGTACGGAGTGTAGAAGCCAATTTGGCAACAAGCCAGTTATCACGCCCCCTTGCCTGAAAATAAGACCTGTCATGGAATTCCACTGTATGTCTGCGTGCAGACATGCACCGAGGGGCCAGAGAGCTACGGTATTCAGAATTTAACCACTTTTGCTGAGGGCAAGCAACACTGAGTAGACGAACCTATGCCAGCCACTTGGCCACTTGGATAACCGAAGCAGGAGATCAGCATCACAATCGTTGGTCTCAATACCTTGTTAACGCCCAGTTATTTCATACATAAGAAAAGCAAGTCCAAGCCACATATCGTCCAACCACATCAGTGAGTGTGCGCTCCAATAATATGCCGTTTTGAGCCTACCAAGTGCAGATGGACCCTGTGTCGTAGCGGCTGTCTCCGTACGGAAAGTCCAGAAATGAAAAGAACAGTAGTGAACAAGGACAAGTTGGTAACGACGAAAGGCAGAAAACTGTTGCTGTCCGATATCTCAAACAGCTTGAGCGCGGCGCATGCACGTCCAGCCAGAAAAAGGGGCTAAAGACAGGAGAATTCAACAGAAGTAAAATCAGATGAAAGAGTTAGGGACAATGAGTGGGGGAGCTTGATGTTAGCAGAATATAGGAATCCAACTAAATACAATTATAGTAAGTTGGGAGACCGTGAATGCCAGATCTAGGGATCACCAGAGCCTCTCATTCGCAAGCAAATTATTTCCATCAAAGAAGTTGAATATTAACCATGCACTTGAGAGCACGCGAAACCGAAGTAAAACAGAAGTCGGGAATTTGAGTAAGACCACCTTCGACTGTCCACACATGGTTCTTGGGGCAGAATACATACCAGCAACAAATTAACTGCATGCCATCAAATAGATATCCGGCCACCATTCGACATACAAATCGTCGACATCATGGTGGAAATGACTTACCGTTGTACTCATCACTACGACAGTCGAGTCGTCTCCACCTGCAGTCAAAGAAGAACCAGGACAGAAAGCAGGAGAGTGTGTTCCCTGAGGCATTCCGACGGCAGAGACACATTGATCATCCAGCAGACACCAGGCGCAGCCAAACAGACTTTGTGAACATTGACGGCAATCATTTAGACGCCGGCAGTCATAGACAGCAAACATTCCTGGCGCTAATGCAGGCCAGTGAGCTTCCGATGGATGGCCAGTTGAATCAACCCACTCAAGCCACAGAACGATAGGGACAGACGCTGAAGAAAACGGCGATGCAAATCACTTGAGTGAGAAGCGTGTAACAAGAAAATTGATTGTAAAATCATGGAGAGATTCATTCCGAAGCATCCCTTTTCTACAGGCTTTTACAGGATTTCCACTGTCCATAGTTGAACGAAAAACCGTCATGTTCAGCGAGGAACAATATAACTGAGCTTCATTACAAAGAAAAAAACGGTTTGTGTAGGAACTAGTAAAACCGAAAGGAAATCGAAGTAACACGGGGATTTTCCTAATTCTACCTGTTTCGTTGGTTGAGCTGTTGAGTAAACACAGTGCAAAATTAGGTTATTTAGTGAGTTTTTTAGTGTCCGAGACAAATAGTAACGGTGATGATTATCACCAACTCCACAATAGTGGGACCCTACGGGTGTGGCTTGAAAACATCCCAAAAGAGTTTGAGTAAACAACAAGACTTCTTCTCCTCAATCATCCCCCGAGCTCAGTGCATAAAGAAGCCTTTTCAGTTAGATGTATTGTCCTGAATCGCAAAGAACTTGAGAGGGGTAACTGTGAAACAAGATGACTGACCTAATTAGAAGCACCCACTTATAGCGTAACAAGGTCAAAGCCTGTTCTGTAAATTTGCACCGCAAGGAAAAAGAAACGTAACCAAACGGTCGCGCTTACAAATCTACAGATAGAATACGAGAATGAAGATAGCTATGAGTTACACAGTAATTGCTGAGTAAATTATGCCTGCAACGGATGAGTTACATGACTAACCGTTTCGTCTAGTTTTGTTACAAGGTCATTCACCTTAAATTGTTTCACACTGGTGACCGACTAAAGTGATTGAAATGTTGATATCCAAACATGTCTTTTCGTTGTGTTTGTCAAATGGATCACAGAAATACTGTGCTTGAGATGACGAGTATCACACCAGCCTACAACCAGAACGAAATAAATGCGATTCCTGTGCAGTTAACCAAGACCTACCTTGTCCTTTTGGTACCGCAGGAAGTTTTGATAAAGGGAGCGAAAAGCACTGCACTTCACTTGCATCCGGCTCGCTGAGGATGAATTTGGCGCTAGTTTTCCCTAGTAGACGCCCAGTTGGCACGACCCCAACGAGTAGCTCGTTGACTTCCGATTGGAGAAGAGAACCGGTCAACAGTGCGGTAGAGTCTAACATGGAAGTGGGGGCACCCCGAAACGCACAAGAGAGCTGGAGTTTTTCCGCGCTGAGCGAATCTCGTATTGTTGGTGGCCATAACCGGTGCAGATCCCTCGCCAAGTCACCGTCAAGCTTCAGCATGATTGTATGTTGATTGAATGTTTCGTCCAGGGGAGAAGAACTTGAATCCATTCGTTGTACTCCCGTGGGGCTGAGTTGTTTTATGACAGGACATCTGTGATAAAAACGAAACGCAAAAATAACTGATTATTAAAATATTGTATTGTATTGTATTGTATTGTATTGTATTGTATTGTATTGTATTGTATTGTATTGTATTGTATTGTATTGTATTGTATTGTGGTTCCTTCTGATTATGACGGTGGTCGTTAAAAGATTAGGCAATCCCATAAATTAGAGCCGAAATAGCAGAAGCACAACACGTTGACGGGGACTTCGATTTTCAGGTTGTTCTCTCTAGCTTATCATTTTAGCTAGGGGATTTCTCAACTTCACTGAGGACAAAAACATCCGTTCAGCAGTAACAAACTTTCGGTGCCTAGCTACCATGCTAACATGAAGCATGAGGGCTGGGATACTGCCAGGTTACCCAAGTCTAGACAGGAGAACCCTGCAAAGGCAGGATTCGAACCACGGACCATCCGGTTAGTAAATTCGAGCTCTAACCACTGATCTATCTACTCTCACTACGGTGTGATCCGACTTCGGCCTCCAACAGACAGTTTCCTAACTACATCGGTTGATCGTCATTCCACCGATGTACATTACCCAGTATTCAAACCAGTTCTCTTCTGTCATACCGACCATATGGAAGATCATGCTCTATGATGACGATAGTGCACATTAAAAGGGTCAGAAAAACGTCAGTCCCAATACAAATACCACAGGCGAACTTAATCATATGCCTCGATAGAGGGGTTTAATGGTAGAAACGTAAACTGCTGCCTATCAATTGAATCAGCAAGCTAAGCTATGAATCAGACTTCCCACAATTTGTCCCGAACTTCTCACGGCAACTCAAGAAGTGATTTTTACAATTCCGTAAGAGGGGGTCAGGAGTGACGCGGTAAATAGGGAATTGATGCTGAGAAGCTAACCAGGGACTTTCGTCGCGCTCTGGTGTCAGTATCTCCCACTCGCTTCCTTCTTCTTTTCAAACACAGCTTGCCAATTCCCAACTTGAAGTGCTACCATTATTAGAAGAACGCATCGCTATCCTCTGCATCCCTCATTCATGTTTATGCTGGAAGGTCGGTTGTGATTGACTGCATCTGTTTTCTGTACTATTAGCAAACAGGACAAGTATGGGCAAACTCTGCAACGCCTCTATATAGCTGCGGTCACAACAGGTCGTCACGGGCGATGTACATTTGATCATGTGTGTGTCACCTGTAGTGGTTGGTACCGATGTTCTGTCGGCACATACGGAAATTTATGGGTCTCCAAGTCGTTGTGCATACTCATTTTGGCCATCAACCTTCCATCTTATGCTTGCAGCTAAGGTGACTTCGCTTCGGAATTCAATTTGGTCTTTAGATGCTGGCTGCCTCTTGGGATACCGTACCAATCACTTGGTAGTTCGTTATCCCTTGGTTGACTAGTATAACCGAATTCACGAGTATGGTTTTGCTTAGAAGTCTGCCAACCTTGTTCGAAGGTAATGATGTGCGGACGTTGTTGTGTGAATTCGGAAGGGTATCAGCTTGAAATTGCGCGTCCGATATCGTTAGGTACGCTATTTGCTGATCCATCAAAGGCAGTCTGCTGACTGGAAAAATGAAAGGATACGACCATCAACTATAAATGAGTTCGAGAAGCTCTGTTACCTGGGTCCTCAAAGAATAAGAACAGTTTTTAGGGGACAGCATATAATCCGGTTAGGGACACCATGCCGTATTATGAATACCTGCTGCGATAGCTACATTTTGGTTTTCATGAAGCGAATTCAGCTAGAACAGTGCGACTAGTCCGTGACCAGTTTATCAAGAGCCTGTTATTGATAACCAAGGGAACTTTGGGGTCGCATTTGTATGTGGAATGGGCGATATGAGGCGAATGATGGTGTTCGTAAAGCATACATCAAAAGCTGCGTTGATGAACAGCCGGAAAGAACAGCAGCAGCAGCGACAGCGGAAGTAGTCGTAGTAGTTAGTGGAATGTCACAACCCCAAGAAAATCCCAGGAATCATTGGCCAGGGACTATACCCAGGATTGTGGTAAAAACTGACAGGTTTTCACAGAAAGCAGTTATCCATACGGGGACGGGGGCATTGATCACGGGGAAAGCAGTAAAAGGACTAATCAAATCGTGCGACATCAATGTGCGGACAGTAAGCGGGACTCGGACATGCGTTCGGGGATGGTGAACGGTCACTGTTCAAGTAGGCGATGCTGGCAATCGATAGAATGAACAAAACTGTTATTGGAGTAGACCTGTTGAGAAGACTGCCAGGTTTTATTGATCTCTAGAATGATGTCATATCCATGGACCACATCAATACCCTTACCTCGTGTCCGATAAACAAGAAAAGAATGGCGCTACTCCAAATAGCCTGATTATCAAAGCCAGTACGTGAGAGGATTTGTGAAGGCATACTCAGGTCTTTTCCGAAGTCATGATTAAAAATGTTTTTAACTGGATAAAGAATGTGATAGGACGTCAGCCCGAAACAAATTGCAGTCTGCTACAGTGGACAACACCGCGAAAACTCATATCCGAGTTTCAGAGGCAAACGGAAAAATACCGGGGAAAGGCATGGCCAAATTTGCAGATTAAGAGGTTCGATGGGATGTATCGGTTATGTGCTGATTTTCTGGGAATGAACAAGGAGTTGATCAACGACACCTTGACCATGCTAACAATTGTCGTTACAATATTTCTAATATATGTTGCTTCCTGTTCTCTGTGTAATATTTTGTACCCAGTAGAATTGCAACAGTTGAAAATTTACCGTCGTGCGTGCAATAAAAGCAATTGTCAAATTTAACTAGCGTCTTGCAGTTTGCTTGCTGTAGAATGGTAAAAGCAGCCTCCCTTCCCCTCCCGCAGGTGGATCATGAGCATCACTGTGCAGGGAAGTGCGAAGGGACCTGAAATATAAAAGAAAACCGGTTACCTGTCAATAGAAGCACTATAAGCCAACCAAGTGAACGCCGATGTTGATTCAGGTGTTGCCGTCCGCGGTGTGTTCACATTTGGGCTACATCGGTTGTTCCGAGGCTTGGTGCTTTCGGCATGCCGTGTTCGATTTTCACCCAAAGAACGACATTCCGCAAGGGGGAGACATCGGCCTTCGATAACGCACCAGCCGCAAAAGGGATCACGAGCCTTGATACAAGCGGCGCACGTTAAGTGCACATCACAATTGGCCAAATTCACGCGAACTACCTAGAGAATGGGAGGCGGTACCAGAATACATACTTGGCGGGGGTTCGCCAGGATGCATAAACTAGGCTCAAAATGTAACAAGATTTCATTCACGAATACGGTTCAAGAAAGCCTTTCATGAGTTCTCTTTCCGGTAAACTAATGTAAACCAGGCGATTGCCAAGATATCACAAGAAAGGCCTGCCCACAATTATCAGCCCAACCTAGAGAATAGTATCGTATGATACACCAATTCAAAGCGATAAAGTCACATCAGAATACCTATTAAGTATGATTCACAAGTTACATTTGCTTAAAGCTCCAAAAACGGGGTAATGCGACTAGGTCTTCGGATGTCCAATGAAGTTACTAATAGGGTCGTACTAGCTTCCTCGGACATTGTGGTGTACACAGTGCAAACAGTTCGAGCAGATGATCGCAGGCAACAAGTGACAAGCGGGAATTTCGTTTTGCTGATGTCAAGACAGACGCAAGGAATGCGTAGTCAACCGCTGGTATTTGGTCACATATCTCAGGCAAGGGGTATTCTGTCTGAAATGAGATCCACTGACAAAACAAACCCCGCTTTCATCAAAATGAACCAAACCTGAATAATTCGGGAAACGTCGAAAAGGCATTTTCATGACACACAATGAATGGAATAAGTGATCCCCGATTGTCAAACACAGACTCCCGAATAGGAAAGTGACATTTTTGTTATACAATTGTGATGCGCGTTGAGAAGTAGACCGTCAGCAAAAGAATAAAACACAATATAATTGTTAGTCATTGGATGATTTCAGGTAATTCGTCACTAAAAACAACAGAAATTCAATCCGACTGGGTAAAACAGCATAACTAAACATGTTAACCAGCTGTCAGTCGCCAGAAGCATCAACTATGAGTCATCACGTTTTTTTACAATGAGATGCGATGAACCCTGCCTATAGAGTGGGCAGTTATCAACTATCACGTATCGAGCTCCACGTATCAATAGCTAAATGTTTGTGCTTTCACAAACGTTTGAAGCTTGGTGGTTGTACCGTCAAGTCCTGACGGGTTTCAATGAAATGCTCGCAAAATTAGGACAAAGTGATCGACAGGACGTGACTATAAACTTGCGACGTACCCGATTCGGCTGCGAGCGGGACGCGTGCGCACCGCAGCCACTACATATTTAGCTTCTACGGTAACTCAACACGCCGAACCGAACAGATGGTCGAATAATGGTGACATCACTAATAAGCCTCGTGCATGACTTCGTGCTGTTAACTTCCATAAACCTTTAGTCTGGAATAGCTTACCTACGTGCCTGAGTTCCCTGTTCGTCCATTTCATTTCAGTCTTTCCGCTGTGAAAAAACCTGTTAAGATCGAGATTGGTACAGCGATCGTGTGATGTAGAGATGAACCAATGACCTACACAAACCCAGTTCTCAAACATTATGTTTCAAATCCAGGCAGGGACTCCCTATTTCGATTCAGCAACACTCCTGTTTCACGCATCATTCGACCTATAAACGAAGAACATGCGTTGAAATACAGTCATCCGGAAATTACGTGGTATTACGTCAAGCAGAACACGCGTGTTATTTGCTTCTTGTAATCGTGCTACTTCGTAGCTTCGTGAAATTTACGCTTGACGTAAGAATACGATTGATTAGTGGCGGATCTGAACACAGAAATGCAGAGGGGATTGGGGCGATGAAGGAAGTATTGACAAGGCATTGCTTCTCTCCCGTCGTCGACAGATGCATCGTCTCATCTTGAAAGGTGTGCTAAGTCTGCACTATCTCAACCCAATGACAGAAGCATCAATCGCATGTTTTTCTCACCATAAAAGTACACCTTTCCAGCGTTGAACTGACCGGGGGGATGAGACGGCGGTGACATGAAAGATGTTATCAACATTGACGGGGTAGGAAGGACGCTCATTGTGTGAAGCGGAAATGGGGAATTAACACTGATATTAGTGAGTGATACTCCCGACAAGGGCGATAGGTTGTGATCCATGTTTGTCTCACGGAGAGCACACGCGTGACAGGAACCCAACGTAGGAATAGAGTGGATGATGATAACGATGGAGAACCCACATGATTATCACTCACATTGAAAAACAGCGGGCATCAGCCAAAGAATACGACACACTAGCTCAATACAATTGATTTTTCTCAGCAATGAACTAAAAACAACGATTCCAACAGGTTTAGATATTTGCGCACTTTGAGTGAACGGCCCACCAAGAACGGTTGCAGTTGAATAAATAGTCTGAAGAACAGAAGCGTACAATGTGAACACACTTCATTGGCTTTATCTGTCCAAAGCGACTTACCTTCTCCTGAGTCGTAGCGTAGGCTATCGTCCCCGTTATATCGAGAGCCACACTGGTGACCGGTCTTCTGTCCGGATCGAGCTGCAAGGCGTCCAAACGACGCGACTGGCTCACATCGGTCACCTCGTACTATCGGAGGAAAATGTAGCAGGGGGAATCAATTATGCTAACTATACTATGACCAGGTAGCCTGAAAAAATACCAAAATTGAAGGAAGACATGGAGATTTGATACTAGTGAAAACGAGTTCGTCGATGTGTGCTGGTACGGCGCTCCCCGAATGGAGACCAACGGGGATGTGCCCAAGACCTTCTGTCATTGGTCATTTGCAAATGTTCTCGACTGCCTTTGTGAGGGCTTGACAAAACTTTTCACTGACCGAATTGAGTGCCCCAGCATCGCATATACAACCAAGCTACATTATCACCATCGCGCGCTTGTACAACGGTTGTCACACCATTACTTGTACAAGTACAACCTTGTAGTCCTCATGCCACGAAACCGGTAATAATGTGAGAGGGAAGCATCCTACGAAAATGAGAAAATGGAAAACTCGAAAAATTCCATTTTTGGCGTTTTTTTGTAGCAGTCGTGTTGCGGCTGTGTAGTGTGTTTCAAAACGCAAAGACGCTATACTTCCAGTCACCCTGTATCCAGAAAAACACATTGGCATAAAAGAACAGTGCAGTAACAGCATGGAAACACTAGCTGTTTTGGCGCGACAGTTGATCGTTAAGTCCAGGCAAATGGAGAAGAGAATAACCACTGTGGTAATTTCTTAACGGGTAAAAGTGGCCATTTTTGAAATTAGAAAGTGTCCCGTGTATAGCTCTGTGGGAGAAAATGAAAAAAAAACCACAAAGAAAGACTTTCCGCACCGCGAAACAAGTGTTCCATGAAGTCTATTCAAACGGCTCTGGCGGACCAGCTGGTAGCCTCGAGTAAGGAGGCACTTACAAGACTGAATGGTACTGTGTTCAACTCGTTGTCAAACACGAGTCAAGCGAAGGATAATAAGGTGAGGGCTTGTTAGATAAATGAAAGAGGTATGCTTGATGTGTGATTTAAGCAATAGTCCACTATCGGGTTAGCACTCACCGTATTCGATTACCATAACAGGAAGTTCATACGCTTAAGCAAGCGGTTAGCTTTCCGATTGTTTTCTTACTCTTACTCCAAAGTGGTATTTACAAGGGACCTCTCTCGAGTCAACCAACTAACTTAAGGTAAAAGTAAAATGGGTGTGTTGGGTTTAGGAAAGCATACAAATTAAAAGAAATTCTATGAACTATGGTTCTTCAAGAAACAAAATAACCTACTTCTAGTCCAGTTCTCGAACAGGAACAGTAAACTCATTCAGTAGTGAAACACAACACCCTTTCTCCATAAAAAATTCGAAAGAGCCTTGTGAATTCGATCGTGCTGGCATTCACGATAAATATGTATGGCCATATCGGAGACGTCATGGCGAGCTTTACTGTGCCACAAAAGTCCCTGGATAATCTTCAAGAGCAACATAAATGTCGAACACCAATACTTCACTAGCACGCAGCTGTGCTAATCTACTTCTAGAAAGTTCTTGTGGTATGTAGAGCACGTGACCAAAATTGGTCTTAGATGCGGTGCTTAAATCATCTGGAGACAAAATCAACCCTATCCTGAAAGACCGAAAATAGGGAATGCATAAAGTGATGTTCTCTTGATTATGGTGGTCCCTAGGTACACGGAAGCCCACGTTCAGCTAGTCAGAACAAGCTTAGAACCAACCGGAGAGTCATTATCACTGGTAAAATTCAATACAAAATATTAGTGAGTGCAAATGGGTTACCAGGTTGACAGAGTTTGGCGGGATAAAGAATCAGTCCGCAGGATCTCGCTCTCTAACAGTATGCTAAATCAGTTATGTGGTGTGGTTGAGCGAATAAGTTATGCGACTGATTGGTTAAAAGGGATAGTCCGTGGTTGGGGGTCGGGTTTGCGGTCAGGTTCACTTTTTCCGTGATCTGTGTGGATGATTCAATGCCACTACAAACAAGTTAGGTAAGCAGTGCACGAATTTCGACCCGTTTGGACCATGCAGTCTACTGATAAATGCTGTTAGCCTGGCCTTACCTACGTACACGGTCAAAATGGTCGGTCCCAGAAAACATGTCTATAAAATATAACCCCTGTACCAGGACTACTTCGTTCCGCATTCGTGGAGTTCATCCTTGCGGGAATGAGTGAAACTATTCCCATTACTAAATGGTCCACATGTCCAAATTCTACCAGCCGGTTTTAAGAAAATGACTCGAGTAAATTTAGGGACCGACAGTGCCGATCAAGTGGGGAAAAGTTAGGGCTATGTCTGGTGTGTAAGTCTGTGGGTAGAGTTTGGAGTTAACGAGACTAAATACAGTTTCGAGACAGTGGACCCCATAGAGAGTATGGAACCCCAGACCCAACCGCAGCGTTCGTCACGTTAGGTATCCACATCACGTAACCAACCCAGTGTAATTGCTTCTTAAGACTCATTAATACTGTAGGGAACATAAACTGACAAAACCGACTCCGGTTTGTAACGACGGTCTGAGCTGTCACACTCCTGGCGACGAATCTCCCAGTCACCAGACGCTAAAAAATCGCACTTACCAACCCCCTCTGGAAGTCGAACAACTTCACACTTCAACGCTAGAAAACACAGGCCAAATCGCCCAGCTTTCAGAGGAACGTTTACGGTCCCGGCTACTGTCCCATGAACTGACCGTTAGATGGAAGGTGGATACTGTAGAAGCCACCCGAAAAAGCAAAAAAAGTCGAAAGACTGGAAGCACTTATAGAATACCGTTTTTTTCGCAATGTGGCTTGTCAAGAGGACTGTCGCATTCGTGAAAGCCCATAATTGTGAAAGTGCGAACGAAACACAGTCGCATGGTACGGGGGTCCAAACTGCGGATAAACATTTCGGCTATCATAAATTAACGCACGTTTGAAATCACAGTATAACACGTTCAC